ACCATCTAAAGCCATTAAAAAATTACTATATATATACAACGCCATGTTACGGTTACGTTTTGTACCTAGGCAGTGGAAAGTGGCGGAAGTACTAATGATTCTTAAACCGTCAAAACCTGCTACCAAAATAGATTCATACAGACCAATATCATTGCTTCCCATATTGTCTAAAATATTTGAAAGATTGTTGCTCAACCGAATCGCACCTATAATAAATGATAAGAGGCTGATACCCGATCACCAATTTGGTTTTCGTCGTCATCATTCAACAATTGATCAAGTTCATCGATTAACATGTTGGATAGAAAGCGCTTTAGAAAAAAAAGAAATCTGTTCAGGTGTATTCCTAGACGTTTCCCAGGCTTTTGATAAGGTTTGGCACAAGGGTCTGTTATTCAAAATTAAGAGAGACTTACCGAAGCCGTATTATGAAATTCTAGCCTCCTATTTAACAGAAAGACATTTCAGAGTGAAGCAAAATAATGAATTTTCGGCTTTCAAAGAAATAAAGGCAGGAGTGCCCCAGGGTAGCGTCCTAGGTCCTATATTATATTTATTATACACCAATGACATTCCAAGAGATGATACCACTCTCATGGGAACATTTGCAGACGACACAGCTATCATGGCTACTGGCATCACCTCTGCTGAGTGTGTAGAAAAGCTGCAATCGAGCCTAGACAAAATTGAGCTATGGACCAAGAAGTGGAGAATTAAATTAAATGGAAATAAGTCAATGCATGTATTTTTTACTAATCGAGAGTTTCAACCGATAAATGTACACTTAAGCAATGTAATAATTCCTATTTCCAACAACGCTAAATACCTAGGCATGAATTTAGATGCAAAGTTAAAATGGAAAGAACATATAAAAAAGAAAAAAGAACAAATAAACTTAAAAGCACGACAACTAAACTGGCTTATTGGAAGAAATTCAGAAGTTAATCTACATAATAAACTTTTGATATATAAACAAGTAATCAAACCCATTTGGACCTATGGTATTCAACTGTGGGGATGCGCGAAAAAAACAAACACACATATCATCCAACGATGCCAAAACAAAATTTTAAGAACCATCACCAATGCACCATGGTTTATCCGTAACGATACTTTACATAGAGACCTGGGAATAACCACAGTAGAAGAAGAAATTAAAATCAATGCTACAAAGCACCGAAATAGACTTCAAAATCATCAAAACATTAATATGATCCAGATTATCAATGAGAACAATGAAATTATGAGAAGACTAAAAAGAACAAAGCCACTGGACTTAGCGCTTTAACTAAATAAAAGTTTAACAACTTATCCACATTGGGACAACTCATCAATGGATGGAATCCCACAAACCGTGATATAATTTTACGAAAACTAAATTGCTAGATAAACCTTTTGGGCTTAGTTGCAGTATACATATATAAATAAAAAAAAAAAAAAAAAAAGTTTGGAGCAAATATAATATATACACATACTTTTATATTTTGAATGTAAATATCTCGAGTTTGAGAGAGCTAGAAAGAATAAAAGAGGCCATGTACATATATATATATATGTTATGGGAATGAGGAGAGCTCCTTTTTGAAAAATGGTTCGTATTTGATTTAAAAAGAGGCAATTTGTTTTACTTTTTAGAACTTTTTCAAAAGTTTTTAAAAAAAAAAGTGCATCTGTGGACATGTTTACAAAGCTTCTACACCCTTGAAGATAGAAATCTGAAATTTTATATGTATATAGATCTTTACTAGGAATTTATTTCCGTAGAACAAAATTTTTACCTACCTCACCCCCTCTAAAAGTTATACCCCCCCTAAAACCCTTTTTTTGCAAACGCAGAAAGGTAGTGGCTTGCTTCTCCTATCTTGGCATACTATAGTTAAACTTTAAAAAACAAAATGGCTGTTCAAATTTACCGTTATCTAAAATCTGTTTTTCCAAATTTTTGATGACGTTTTCCTTCTAGACCCCAGGTTGTAGGAGCTTTTAGATACTAATAAATAGTTTATTTCGTTAGAAAATTTTTTTCCATCTCCACCCCTCTCAAGTCATCCGTTCTCGAAATTTGTAAAATTTGAATTTTTGACATTTTATATATTATTTTGACGAAACCGCAAGCTTTTTCAAATCTCTATGTGACATTAAAAAATACGTGACATTAAAAAATACAATTATTTTTCCTAACTCACACAAATAACCCTTAAAATCGTGCATTATGTTTATCTCTCTTTAAATTAAATTTTGCCTTATTTCAAAGACTGCATAAATCGTTCATCCTAAATATATGCAATCCTAGAAGTAAATTCGTTTATGAATGAAAAAATTTTTAATAGTGTTGTAGATATACATAGACTGTATTTAAAAGCAGTATTTCACTAATTGTTGAAGGGAAAAGTGCTACAATACAAACCATTTGACCCAACTTTATTTAATACTTTTTTTTCAGAAAGAGATTTGTGCTCATCCCCATGTCATATCAATTAAGTATGAAAAAATTGAAAGTGAGCATCATCAAGTTCGGCTTTTGATTTTATAACTACATACATATGTATGTATGTTAATTATGTATTATGAATACTTAAATTTTTGCACGCACTTACTTTCATTGATATTTATACGTACATATGTACCTAGTTATTTCAAATCAATAGTCAACGTTTCTTAAAATTCGACATACTTTCATACATAAGTTTATAACTATAAATTATTGATTACGTGTTTCGCTTAGGACTTTGATATTTCAATTTTTCATACACACATATACAATGTATGTATGATGCATTTTAACTATTCAATGCTATTTTTGCCATCCTTGCAAAATTTATTTTTATAAACTTTTTTTGAACAAATATATGTATGTATATATGCACGTACTCACATATTTTGAACAAATACTTTTTTCTATTGTGAATATGTTTCTCTACAAACATACGTACATACATAACTAAATAGTAAGAATTTCAAATAATATACATATATAGATGATGTATGTATATATGCACATATGTATAGATGTGTATACAATAATTTGATTCTTTGTTCCATTCGCACAAAAAAAAATTTTTTATATGTATTATATTTTCATATTTTATTTGGCAGTTTCGTGAAACATATGTTTTTTGGAAAAAAATACAGTATGCTATACATATCGCAATAAAACATGATAAAAATACATAAATTCGGCAACAATGCATGATGTTATTTTATATTTTTTCTTATTTCTTCATTTGAAAGGTTTTTGCATAAATATAACATTACAGTTTACAGTCAATCTAATACAAGAACACATCAGAGTTTATATGTAGTTATATTGTATAAAATATGCCAGTTATACAGTGTATATACATACGTACTCGTTTATTCAATATTGTATTTATAGAAATGATGCATACTCATGTTGTATGCATTTAGATTTTACAACAAAATGCACTTGCTTTTATATTAAAACTGGGTATTCACTAATGTATATATATATACTTATATGTTGTATGAACGTTGTAATTGTCGTTTTTATAGATGCATCCGTACATACATTATTATGTAAATACAAATGTAAATTGTAATTTTTAACAAAAATTAAATCTTTTCAAATTTTAATTACATGAATGCATATATACGTGTATAAAGACTTATTTTTACATATTTATGTACAAATGTATGTGTTTTTACATTTTATATTAACAAAAAACCACGATATGTATGTACATACATATGTATTTACACACTATTGAACTACTTGAAATTTAGCGATGAGCTTTTTCAATTTATCAACTTTATAATATGTATGTACAAACATACAAACACATGTATGTACATATGGACACATAAAATTTTCATTAGATATTTTTTTTTATTAAAATTTAAATTATATGATTCAATAAAAAAGCCATCTCCCATATAATATTTTTGTTATAAAATATGCTTCATATTTATTATCTTTATTTTACATTATAATTTATTTAATTAAAATTTTTTACTTTGTTAAAATTATTTGTAAAATATACATTAAGCTGGTAGCTTTATATAATTATGTAGTGTACATACATATGTAACTTGGTTGAAAAATATATGTAGTGTATGTATGTGTGTATAAATGTATAGATTTAAGACAATTTGAGTATAGTACTAAGAAAATTCAGAGTATTTAAAGAAATTAAATGAGAATTAAAAAAATTAATTTACAAATTAAGTAGAACAAACATACACAAATAATCAATTTTGTTCAAAAAAACCATAAAAAATTTTTCAATTACGCAATTCTTAAGTTGCGTAATTGAAAAATAAAATAAATCTTAGTTCATTTTATATTTAATCGAATAACATTTGAAAACTTTAATTAATGTAAAATTTATATTAAATTAAAGAAAAATTATTATGCCTGTAGTGCGGAGACACATATACAATTTTCATGTTATACTAATTCTGTATTGGCATTAAATTCAACAATCAATTTCGTTATTTTTGTGGTTTTTTTTATTTCCAATAAAAAATCTTCTCTTAATTTATTAATTTTTTCTTTTCATTTTCAAAACACAATTACAAAGAACTATTACTGTATATTTTTTTCCTTCTTTTCTGTATTAAAGGATACTTTTTATTTTATTTTTTATTCTTATTTTCCTATTGAAGGACGAAAAAGTATAGGTAAAGAATTAGAGGTTTAAACATTAAAAAAATACTTCTTTTACTAATTTTTCTTTTATTAAAAAATAATTATTAAAAGAAACAATAATAAGAAAAAACATTTTACTACATAAAAAACACTTTACTCTGTAATTATTGGTAACCATTGCGAAATTGAAACAATATGAATCATTAAAAATAAGTCAGAAGTTTAGTTAGTTTTTATATATAAGTTAGATATCTTAACAATTGTATTTAAGTAGAGACAATAATTAAAATATTTACTGCACATAATAAAGTATTTAATATTTCTTTTCTTTTAGCTTTTAATTGCAACAAGTGCTCTAATTTCTCAAATGACAAATTTAGCATTTTCTCACCTTATTTATTTTGGTGTTTCAACAAAATAGAAACGTGTATTTTTTCCTCTTTATTTATTTTTTACATAAAACGAAACAGCCACACACTACGCTGAAGCACTATTGGAGCAACCAAAAAATTAATTTTTACTTTTCTGTAAAATAAAAATAAATGATACCTACATTTAAGTATTTTATAAAATGTGTGCACAAACTATAAATATTCATAAGTTTTTATACTATAATTATGCGATATTTGCATATATATATATACATATACATACATGGCTATATGTACATAAACTACATAATTAGTAATTACATATATGTATTAAACTTCCAGTATGTGCAGAAGAAGTTTAAATTTCAAAAGTAAAAAGAACAAATTAGATAACAGGAAGATTTATTTCTCAAATTAAAAGGAGGGATTAATTATATAATTCCTTTTTCAATGCATGTATACTTATTATAAACGAGACACACATATAAGTATATTATAGATATACATATGTATGTGAAATAAAATAACCAAGAGATCAAGGATTGCCAAACCCAAAGTATCCAAATCACAAGCGGTTTTTTTAACTGATTTCTCTAGATGTCCTGTAAAAATTTTAAGAATTTTTTTATATTTGCTGTAGAAATGCTAGCAAATTGCCGAAAACTGCATAATTTTTAGCGAGCTCGTCAAATTATATTTAATCAATGTTGATCATTCTCTTTGATACAACTGGTTCGCTTGTTTCGAATTTTTTATTGGTTACAAAAGGCCTTACTCAAATGAGAAAAAAGGAAAATATTGAACTATTGACAGCTTTATTTCAAATTATATACTTATGAGAATACACTTCTAAGAAACTTTTGTAATTTTTGGTGCAGGAATCTTAATATAGTTTCAAACAATTTCATTCATACAACAATCCCACAAATATTTTTGAACATGTATTTTCAATGAGTAATGGAAAATTTACCTCAATCTATATTTCAGGTTTTCCACTAATTATTTCGGCTCAAAGTTAAAATTTAGTAATAATTTTAATAAATAAGCGCTGTGTCTGAGTAATTGTGTATTGTACTGCACTTACATTTCCTGTTAAGCTCCTTACTTAAATACATTTTTTCTTATAAATACATATTTTGTGCGCATACATTTGAGGTACCTGCAAGACAATTTATTTAAGTATATAGCTTATACTTAAATATAAAAAGTCTATAAGTATATAAATGTTAACAATTATTACTTTAATTTAAAGAAATTCTAGATGTACATATGTATGTATTACTAAGTCATATTAGTGAATATAGGGAACATAGGGAACAAATCAAAGTAGCAAAGTAGATTCGGAAAATGAGAAACTTTACTTCATCTAGTGTTTTGCTGCATTCTAGTTTCCTGTCATTTCGAAATAAAATATATAAGTACACATTTGCAAGAAAGCCTTAATAAAAAGCCATTCAACTTACATTGAGGGTCAACAACATTGCATTTTCTGTCATTTTTTTGTTTTACTCTTACTTTTATTTTTGTTTTTATTATTCTTTTTGTTTATTTATTTGGGTTTATGGTTTCATAAATATACACACTATTACCTAAATATACATATAAGTCGTAAATTGGTTTTAATAAGTACTTAAGTAAAATATAAAAAATGAAGTAATTAAATTATTTTGGGATGGATGTTTTAATACATACTAAACATACATATGTATACTACCATAAAAATTTGTTAACTTTTCGAAATGATAAGATTCTATACATCAGTAAAAAAAAGTTTCTAAAATTCTTCTTGTGACAAATAAATTATGAAATGTAAATTGAGGTTGCATGAGCTTAGACTTTGTACATTAATTTTTTTACAAATATTTATAGAAACTTTGAGACACATCCGGATTTCCATATAGCATTGCTCCGAAAATTATACTTAGTTTAGTTTATAGTTTATTCCTTTTAGACTTATGTTTTTATGTAGTAAAGACATAATACTATTATTAAATGCTGCGTACAGACTTAAAATTTTGCCCTAGCTGCGTAAAAATGTTTTAATTATTTTATTTTTATGAAGAATTTCAATTCTAAAATAATGTGAATAGAGTACACAGGATAAATGAAAATCAGAAACAAAATTATATGCTATTGTTAGCAGATAACCGACCGTAATGTGTGTTGCCTAGTTAAGAGAAAGTGTCACAAAAGATTATGAAAAATCGTTTTAATCTCTTCTTTCCAATTGAAAGTTAGTTAGCTTTTAGTTAACATACATAGAAAAGTGTTAATTTGGCACTCAAAAATTAAATATCAAGAAATTACAAAAAATCCGTTCGTAGATAAGGTAAAAATGTAAAATGGGTCTCTAGTTCGGTTTCCGAGCTCCGATCTTTCCAAAAAAATCATATGTTCATTGTTTTAATACACTTAATTTAAATATAAAATTTCAAGGAAATTCACTTATTATTTCTCTTTATATGCGCAAAAATGTAAAATCGGTCAGCAAAAAATTCCAGTTCAACTTTTCGATATCCCAAAAGTTGATCAACCCGTGACCGATATTCTTAAAGATCTTTTCGATTTTAAAGACACAAGAAAAAAGAAAAAATTGATTAAGTTAATAGAGTGAAAAATGTGAATAAATTTAAAATACTATGTAAAATTTACCATTTTTAAAGAAATGAATCAAACATTTTATGATAACTCAATTTGTGAAAACATTAATTGTATTAATGTCACAACACACTCTTATGTAGAGTTCAATAAACCTCTGAATTTATTTTCGAAATAAAAGATAATCTTAAATTAGAAAAGATTCATACACACATAAATAAAATTTACTTAAATACTGTTCTAAAAATAACCGAAATATTTGTATATAATTGCGTATGTTTAAATATACATACATATGTTAATATTCATTTAAATATAATATATGTAGACACTTTAAAATAATTGACAAATTTTCCTTATCGCGAAGTTTTTGCAATTTCAGCTAATCATCCAGTATTCAATGATTCAAAACTAAAAGTGAAAATGTAATATTTAATAAACTGCTACAAAATTCGGCACGGGACCTTAAAAAGTCTTTAAAAATTTTTGAAAAAGTGTAATTTAAGATAAAATAAAAAGAGTATTAATTTTTTAGCACATTGCAAGAGAAACTTGATTTTCCATATGCATGATACGAGTATTAACTTAGTTATATTTTTATTTTATTCTTTTTGGAAATCCAAATTAAAATTGGTCACTCCATCTTTTTTAGTAGGGTTTTTTTGGTAATTTTTTATTTTTGTAAATATTTAAACATTAAAATACATTTGAGCAACTTTCAAAACTCTCTTTTTTGTCTAATGCGAAAAGAAATTTTAAAATTAAGCCATTTCCAAAAATTTTTCATGAAAAAATCGGTGAACAAACTTAAAAATCATGATATTACTTACTAATTATTAAATTTCGATCTTGTAACAGAATTACTACGATTTGCACTAACGCTTCTGGGAGCATTTATTTACTAAAAATTTATAAGTATAATATTTAAAATTGCAAAATATATGTATGTATATATGTATAACTTAATATAAGTTATTAGCATTTATTTACTAAAAATTTATAAGTATAATATTTAAAATTGCAAAATATATGTATGTATATATGTATAACTTAATATAATAAATATGTATAACTCTATATAATAATCCAAAACTTTTCAGAAATAATTTGAATGAAAAAAAAGATTAAATATTTTGTTAAACAGAAGTTCAAAATAAAACATAAAAATCTTTTGACATTGTCTGAAACTGATAAAAATTGATTTAAAAAAAATTATATTTAATATACATATGTATGTACATACATACATACATAATTAGATTTTTCATGAGTTCAAATTTTATAATGTAAAATAAGGGAGCATAGGAAATTTTTGAATATAATGTGCAAAAATTATATAAATTAATTTTTTTTAAATAAAACTTTTGATTTTTGAAGTTATTTCTCACATAATTGAGCTAGTGCTTTTATAGATAATAGCAAAAATACTTCATGAATACATGCAATTAATGAACAATTCGAAATAATTGTATAAAAAACTAGAATGCAAATTTAAAAAAAAACAATTTCGAACATCAATTACAATTGTTTGCATGAAGCCGTGCTTAAGTTTAATTAACTACAATAAATAAAAAGCTCCGGCAACGAAACATTTGATAGAATATAAAATATCTAAGAAAACAACTTTTATTTAATTGATTTTTTTTTGGAACTAATAAAGGAACAGGTTTAACGCTTTTGAAATCAAAAAAGTGCTAAGTACTCGTCCTTATTTTTTGAAAATTCAAGGAATCAAAGTTGAACAAAATATTTCTAACCACGGTTTCTCAAGAAAATTTTAAAATCTATTTTTTAAAAAGGTAAAGCTGGTATCAACAATTTTATATAATTATAAAAGTACTTATGTAGGTTCCCACATTTTTAACCCTAACCTAAGATCATTTTTTATTTTATTAAATTCAGTACATATTATGTTTTTTGAAATGAACATACAAAAATCACTATAAATTTAATAACGGGCAACATAATTATAATATTAAATGAATGTATATAATCATATATGTACGTATATGTATATATAAATGCATGTCATTATATAACTATAGTATTTGTTTAAAATTATTTGATAAATACCTGTTTTCCCAAGGTGTAATTTACTCTCGTATATATATTTCTGTTTTCGTCTTCTTATGGCTGTATATTTGTTCCTAACGTTTTCGTCTACTCTTTTGTCCAATTTTTTATTTAGAACTTACCTAACAGAGCTAACTCCCTATTTTAATTCGTTTTTCTTTTTTTTATTCACAAACAACACACCAACTTTGTTTCAAATTCTTTTTTGCTATTTGATATTTTTTACACAACACTACATTATATGGTACTACATATGCAATTGTTAGCTGAAAATTTTTCATACAAATTTTTCATCGACCTCTTTTGAAAACTTTGAATTTTTAAAAATGTAAAAATAAAAATATTTTTACTTTGTTTTACAAATTCAATAAAATTGATTGTTTCTTGATTTTTTGTGATATTCTTGACTTTTTATGTATGGTTTTTATTTTCGGTTAGAAAAACAAGAGTAGTGTCTCAGGATTTTATTATAATTTTTTTTGCAAAAAATTTCATTTTGTGAATAAATGTTCCTATGAATATATTTTTGCTAAATTTTGTATATGTACTGTTCTTTTTTCTTATGGAAAATTTTCATTCCACCGTTAGCAAGAAATCCAAAACATTTTTATTTTTAATATCGATATTAACTGCTTTCATTGTTTAGCTGGCTGTATAATAAAATTTTTGACAGTCATATGGAAAGTTTTCTATGTGTTTGTAAAACATTTGTTAAGTAAAACAGTGTGAAATACTTATAAATATTATGTAGCAACATTTGTCAATCTGTTATAATATACTAAAGTTGAATTTTCAAGTTCTTCAAAAAATTGTTGTTTTTTATTTTTTTTGATATTTTACTGCCTATGCTGACTATATTATGCTTCTGATATTTTACTGACTATATTAATTTGATTTTTTAAACTTATTTTTTTTTGAATAAATTGACAGCAAATAACAAGTAAACAACAACAAAAAACAAATTCTCCAATACGTAGTATAGAAACAAAATTATATTTATAAAACAGAAAAAGCATGTGTATGCATGTAAAATAATTTTTTTCCAATTTGCTTTCAAAAATTAAAATTTTCAATCATATTACATGGCTCGTCTTTCAATAAATATTTCTATTTCTTCTTTTGTTGTTTTCCAAAGAAGTTTTTAAGAAATTTGAAGTTAGTGAATAATAAAGATTGCTAATTTTTTGATTATTTGCTCTTTTTCTTGATTATTAATTTTGTCTTAATTACTTTTATTGTCGCATGATGATTGATGTTATCAACCCTACCTAGTTGTAAAAATGATTAATGATTGGTAGGCAAAACCAAAAACAGCGTCTCACAGCTAATTTCACCGTTCCACACTTGGGCGTGAATGTGAACCTTAACTTCTCCAAGCACTTGTTCCTTGCAAAGAAATGTTTAAGATCTTATACCATAAATAACCTTCCTTGCGGCTACTTTGTCTTATCTACGTATACAAAAAGTAAAACCGTAAATAATATTGGTTTTTTGTCAGCTGGAGAATGTGAATCATATGCGATTTCACTAAAAATCAACAAATTTTTTCATAGTTCATTATTCTTTCGTGATATATTTTCAAACGTAATATACATTTAACACTCATTTTTACGTCAATATTATTTATTGATATTTTATGCTTTAAGCATATAATAAAGTTTTATATAGATGTATTTGTATATTTCTTACTTTATGTATTTTTTCTATATTATATTCGTTCAAATGACCTTAAAATTTTTTTTCTTTTTGCTTACATAAAACTTTATTTCTTTAAACACAGATCGAAAAAGGGTAATTTAACAGATTTTTATACAAAATAAATATTATAAGGTTAAATAGATAATATTAAATAAAGTCCAAAATTAACTTATATACTTTGTCTTTTTTATTCACACTATATCTAAACACAACTTCTTTGTAGTCTACTTGTAGTCCAAATTTTCACTTAACAAAGAAAATTTTTAAATGTCTGAAAAAAAATTTCTCTTTGAAAAGAAACGATAATGAACTTTCGAAAAAATATTGATTTTCAAAACTTTTTTCTAATTGATTCTACAACGTAAGAATTCAATCCGCATAAAAATCAATTAAATTAAATATAACTTATACCCTTCAAAATTTATTATTTTAATATTACAGAAAACGACCCGTTTATAAAAGAAACTCCAATATCCGTCCCTCTATCGATCTACTCGAAATTCCAAATTGAAATGTCAGAAACTGTCAAACGCCAAAATACATTGCCAAAAAGTAAAATTGTACATACCTAAATAAGGTAAAAAATAACTTGTATCAACATTGTTGCTGCAAGTTATTTAACAGCTGATTTAAGAATAGTGTAACCGTTTTTGGGAAAATATACACAGTTGTCTTCATATTTATATTTGTCAAATATATTTGCAACAAACATATCAAATATAAATTTATTTTCCGTATATTTTTCCAGCAAAAATTTTGACAATCTATTTTATTCACGATTTAACATTTTAAAAGGCTTTGAAAATCTTCAATTATCTTGTATTTTGAAGTTTTGGACAATTTCCCATAACCATATAACAAAGTTTTGACATCTGATTACCAAAACATTTTCTGTCTCATTTTTCAAAAAAATATTTTCAAAAAAAATTTTTTGTTAACTTCAGTTTCATTTCAACATTGCTGTCAAAACTTTGATGTTAAGATATAAATGTAATACTAATTCGTAGATTTAGTCTGATGTGTGATTGGCGCGTTATATTTTAATTGAAATCAAATCGTATCTCTGACGAAATTATCGTAAACTTGTTAATGATAATAACCAATGAATAATAAATGTTCTATGTTGCTTTTTAGATGAAAACAAAAGTTTAGGTGCTTTTGCCCCTGCAGGGGCACGGCACACGGCATGCAATTGTCAAAAAAAGTTGGTTCTACATTTATAAATGATTTCTTATAAACTTATAAATTTTTAACCAAAAGTTTTTTGTAGATGCATCATTGATATTTTTGTGGAATAATATATTTTACATACAAATAGGATTTTACACAAAAAGTTTACCAATTTTTTGATTAAATATTAAAATCAAAAATTTTACTACTATTTTTCCTACTATTTTAATAATATAGCGGTTATTGTAATATATATATTGTGATTTGTTTAATATTTATATGATATTAGTAGCATCATATATTAATTATATATTAGTAGCATATATATTAATTATATATATACTAAAATTATTAATTTGGAAGCGGCACATATTAAAACAATATTCTTGCTATGTTTTAAATAACGCAAAATAACAAGACAAATAACGGTTAAAGGAAATAACTTCAAAATACCTAAATTAGAAAATAGTAAAAAAAATAATATGTATATTGTATGTAAACAAAGTCATAAGAAAGCTTTACAAACTTTATAAAGTTTTGATGAGCAAATTGTTTGGTATAATATTTTTTTGAAAAAAAATTATAAAGAAAATGATAACGTTATGGTTTTCTCAATGTTCAAAGTTTTTTCAAGTTGTAAAATTTAGTATTTTAAAAACTATTAGCTATCAAAACATATGTTCTTCTTTATGTACACTTGTTAATATTTGATAAATATTTTAAAATTTGATTTAAATACGTAAATTTTATAAAGTTTGCAAAAATTTTTTCAACTTTTCCGTCTTGAAAATCCTTTGTTTTTTAAATTAGGATTTTTTTTTCTTTTCGAGAAGTGACGTTTGCTTTTTAAAGTTTTTTCAAGTTTTATCCCGCATAGATCTATTGTAGCAATTTCCTAGATAAAGATTTAAAGATATTAACATCAATGACCGGTACACCATTTTCTATTTAAAAGTTATTGCAAAAATCAGTTTCTATTTATATCGAAATGGTTAAAAATGATCATTTGCCCAAAATAAAGAGTAATTTAATTGAAATTTAAATTCGTTTTTAAATTCGCTCTTTTTAGCCGTGTTTATATCATTACATTGCATGAATGACTTATTTTTAGATGTTAGAAAATTAGTTATTGAAAAGCATATAAGTAACTATCTAGCAATTGTTGTTGTAAAAATTCTAAGTATCCTGTTAGGATAACAGAATTACACTTAATAATATACACTTATTATGTATTAACCTATTTTGAATTTATGTTCATAATTTCAAAGAAAGCCTTTTATTAATCAGCCATATCGTTTGTAATTCTGAAATTTGTAAAATTCGTTATTCCGAATTACTAAAATTCGGCTCCAAATATTCGTAATAGAGTGATCATAAATTACGTTATGTAGTAAAGATAACTAAATATTCAAAAACTAAAAACTGCAAAACTTTTATACAAAATCATATTTTGAAAAATATCCTTTTGTATGGAAGTTGTTTATTTAAATTTTCAAACAAAATATATAAGTAAAAAATACATTTAAAATAAAATACTGATTTTGAAACTTCGAAATGTTTCCTGTTGCCATTACTGATTCATATTCTCTACGAAAGGCATTTGTGAATTGTGATAATTCAAAAGACTACGACGTAGCTAAGTTCGTAATTCGTAAGATTCTATGATGAGAATTCATGATAGTGCTGAATATTTTTTTTTATTTATATTTATTTATTTATGTTTAGCTCATACATTTTATAAGAAATAAAATTAAGGAACACATACAAATGTATACATATATAAATTTTATTTAGACTGTAGCAAATAATTATTGACTTAAACCAAAGATTTTAAAAACTTTTAAAGAATTTTTGATATCTTTGCTTAAACATTATTTTAAAAATTATACAATATATAAACTTATTTCCACTAAATAACATAAACAATGAAAAATTAAAAGAATTTGCTAAAATAAAAAGAGACTATAGTTAGCTATAAGTAAATAGAAGATTTTTTATCGTGTCTTTCGTCAGTGAAAAGTCAAGTATATGTTTGAGTTTGTTGCATAAACTGAGAGTTCTACTGACAGGTTTTGGTTTTCCATAATTGGACCATTTATGAAAAGCAACCACGAAAATTTTATTTAAAATGTCGGGGGATGATTGATTGTTCTTTATTTAAAAATAAAGAACAATCAATCGCCTGTAAAACAAGCTCCTAATGATCACTGTAATAATGATAATAATAGAGAACAAGTCATCGCCTGTAAAACAAGCTCCTATTGATAACTGTATGTTGTATGATTTCGAAGTTATGAGCATTTATTTATATGCAGGAAAGGTCCGGTACCTTTTTTTTCAACAGGTTGTAGCTCGAAAACGAGTGCATTGTTCCTTGAAGTGAATGAACGCATTGTTATATGAAGTGAACAATTCGAAATTTAATATTAGTAATGAGAAAAAAAACAGCATAATTAAATGTGGATTACATAATGTATATTCAAAAATCAGTTGAACCCGTTTAATTGCATTACGCATATAAGCAAAGTTGCTATATTATGTTATACGCGTATCAGTTTTTGCCACGGCTGACAGAAATGTTTTTGTTGCGTGCAGGTTTTTGCCGATGTATAATTTCTCTAAACCTTTTTAGTATTCAACTAAAGCTCAACTACAATTCGCTTCGATAAATAACGCAAAATATAAGTGCAAATATTTTTGTGAGTTTTATCATTGCTGTTTATGTATATAAAAGTTTTTGTTTCTAAACACAAATTTTTGTTCCGCTTATATTTTCTTAAGGGCAGAATTTGTTGACATTTAAATAATGAAATAAAAATTGATGAGCCACAAGGCATACAGGAAATATAGCGTAAGATTCAATGTTATATTTTACCACATTTCTAATATGTGAACATTGTTATTACTAGTACAAAGTTGATCTATAGGAATTTTGCAAGTAGGAAATGGATAATTGCACAACACTGATATATGTTTGCACAAAAATTTTGTCCAAAAAGATATGTATATAGTTGTGTTCAACAATAATTAAATAAAATTTTAGAAAGATGAAGTTTGAAGCTCCGAAGGAACAATGGACAAAAATCGCGCAAACACTTTATTACCAAAAATTCATATACATACATATCATTTCTCGTTTATCAATTTGCAAACATTAATTCACACCCAGCTAAAAGAAAGAAATTTGTTTTTAAAGAAAATATATTTGAATTTTAATTATCATTATAGCGATAATTTAATTTAATTTAATTACATACTACATATTTTCCATTTTTTATTTTATGTGTATTTTATTTTATACCAAATAGATCTTATACGACTAATCGAGATAAATATACGCGTTCATTTCATTATGAATGTATACATATATTGACAATTATAATATTGTATAAATTTACATTAAATATATTTTAATATTATTTAAATTTTTTATTTTTTTTTGCGATTATTTATAATTTAGTAGTAAAAAAAGCTATTTTTATGTTTTTATACAAACATATTCACTAATGTTATATTGTTGTAGGTCTACAATGCCATATTATTTATACATGGATATTTTAATTTCAAATAAATAATAAAAATAATATGCTTTTTTTAATTTTATCATTTCGAAATAAATGATCAATATTAATCGTTTTGCTATACATATTTGTGGTTACTTTGTTTTCTATTTTCATAATATGTATAACATAGACATAATATTATATACATGTATCTTAATATGTTTTAAATAACGTTAAAACTGCGAATTATTGTAAATACTTGAATTGTTTATTTAAAATATTTAAAATTTCTTATTTTTGAATACTATTTTTTTTTATTTTCTGAAAAAGAGAACTGGTGGAAATGAACATTTATATACATATGTATAATATGTATATATAACTTCAATGTTTTCTTATAAAATTTGAATAAATTAGTAAAAAAAACTTTTTAATTACATATTTCATTATATACAATTGGTGTTTATATATAATGTAATATGTATATACTTCTTTTATGTATATAATATACATATCTATATGATGAATGAGCGTAAATTTTTTATTATTACCTATAATAAAACTTTTTTACATTTTTTAAATTAATTACAAACTTCTAAATCAGTTATTTAATTTTATTTTTGCTTTTCTGAATTAGGTTAAATATTTTTAAAATTTAAAAACAAAAAAAAATTTATAATTATTTTTATAATACAAATTTTTATGAATTTTAAATTGATGAATTTAAGCGAATATAAAATTTTTTAAAATATTTTAATGAAAATATATTAAGACTCCGAAATTTATTTGAATATTTAATGTTTAAATTTGTGAAACTGCTTGTTCTTTTTTTATTTTTTATAGTTAATAATATCTTGATTATTAGATATGAATTATGATTTATAGTATAAAAGTATACTAAATATTATATTTTGTAAATATTAAAATAAATTATATTCGATTTTATGTATGGGTTGTAATTTTCAGTAATTTGTTGGTGTTGCATAATGAAATTAAGAATTTAACTTTGCTTTCAACATTAAATTTGCATTTCTTCCTCCTCTAAATCAGTAATGTTTTCGAAATACATTTTTTTTTTAAATTGTAATGTAAATAAGATGTAACCGTAAAAATGAACAATCAAAAGAATTTTATTTATATTTAATTTTCAAATTTATGATACTCGTTATAAGACATTAAGCTTGAAATCCATCAAGAATTGTGAAACAGGGGCGGAAGGAACTTTTAAAGAGATGCTGCTTTTAATTGATTTTTTGATATACAATTTTTAAAACTAAATTTTTTTTTCGAAAATACGGTTAAGGTACTGCTCCCTTAAAAAATCTAAATTCGTGGTGTTTCAGCAATTTCAAAACCTATTTTGCTCATATAAAATAAAAATTTGAAAATGTAAGGAATTGGACTAGTTGATACTTACTATTTTAAGACGACTGTAAAATTTATTACTTATTTTTGCTGTTTGAAAGCAACTATGAATTCCCAAAAAATGAATTATAATTTTATTTAGTTTGTTGTTAAACTTTGCATTAATCGACTAGAAATATCAGAAATCTAGAAGGAATTATATTAATCTTTTAAAAAAATTTAAGTACCTAGCAACTATTTAATTAAGACTGAAACTCATTTAAGATTTTTACATTTGATCACCGACAATATATACAAATTAAAAAAATCAAACTATATATAACAAACCAAAAAAACCTATTCATACCTTATGAATTCAAAGCTTATGCTGAAACGGTAAATTTCTGTTACGGCAATAGATACTCGTACTATAAAAAGACAAAACGGGCCTTCAACATACAATTTTATGTATTCTTTTGAACCTTTATCTCTTAAAATATTAGCGTTTAGATCAATTACAGGTCAAATGGAAGAGCGAACGATCCAAATTGGTTTAAGAAACGTTTTACGAATAGAGAAAAAATATACAATTTTTGGGATATAAGGATGCGGGACTCTATAATGGGATAGTACATATATAAATTGAAAAATAACGAATTTTTTTCGAAAATTATCATTAATAAGACATTAATTGTTTTTGGTCTATTTAAATAAATCTATTTCTCACCTTGAATCTTGTGCCCGAAGACTATCAGAGATATAACAGACTTAAGAAAATAACAATTATTTTATCTTCTACTTAGTTTTCGCATCACCTAATTATCAATTCGTGTGAGCACATGCATTAATCAATATTAAATTACATATCTGTATCTATATATATTACAACATACGCACATACATATGTATTTATAATAAAAGAACAAATCTACAAAAAATTTTTATGCATAATTAAAATAAAGGAACAATGTTAATCAAAACAAGATAAATGTAACACAGATTCTTATTATTTTGTTAATCTTCAATAATGTTGTCATCATTTTTAATACTTCTAAAATATTAACCTAGAAATTCGTTTTTGAATTGTAAGAAAAAATCACAAGAAAACTAGTATGTTCATTAAATGAGAGTTTTATTTATTAAAGGTTTTATTTCAGTATAATCTAGTTACTGTTTTTTGCATGGTGGCTTCAAACTCTTTTTCAAAAAAAAAATAATTATCAATTTAAAGACCTGTTAAAAACTTTATTTTGTGCTTTAAATAAATAAGGAAAATACCGAAATTTAATTAGTTCGCACATACAAAAAATTTTTTACCTTTATCACTTGAGTTTTAACAGAATTTTAAAAGGTTAAGAGTAATAAACAATAATGTAACAAAATTACCAAGTAAAATATCTTCACATGTTTATATAAAAAATTCTAAATTTATTTGCGAAAATAATTGTGGTAATAATAGTCACAATTAAAAAATAATTTGTATATTTTATACATTATCACGTTACTTTGTAAGAATTTTATTTGTTTTTATAACATAATAATTTTATTAATAAATTACCTCTACAAATATTATATCATTATGCTCTTTGTATAGTTTTGTTCAGTTTAAAAAAATTATTTACATTTAATGTCGAACATTTCGTTTTTAATTAATATTTATTATTCAATTAAAATCTTTTTTAGGATATTTTTATTTTTTAATTTAAATAAGGGGTGCTAAATTAATGAGTTTATTATAATATTTTTATATTCATGTTAATTTATTTCGATTAAAAAGTTTGGTTTCTTTCTTTATTAATGTTTTAATGTATGTAAATACTCTAAATGTTATTTTTTAAAATATTAATATTTTAATATATGTAGCTAACATAGTATTTAAATATTTTTAATTAAATGGGTATTCAGTTTATATGTGTGTATGTACAAAATTTTTTTTGCGATGCAGAAAAATTATGAAAATCTGCGTTATAATTTAATTGTCATTTCCCGAGTAACACTTGCTGTATGATTTTTAAAGTTCATTAACTGGAAAAGTTTAAATTTTTCTCCGATTAAGGATAAAATTATGATAAACTCATCATTTTGTTTTTGATAATAATTTAAAATAATTTAATGGATGATAAGTTATAACTATTTCAAATTAATTAAAACTTTTTTTTTACATTCACTTGCCCCCTACGAAACAATTTTGTTCCCATTTTTTAAGTTCTTAATACATACATTCATCAAAATCACAATTAAAAAAAATCGGTTTCGTCAGTATATATTATAGACAAATATTTAGTAAACAAAATTACGGTTACCGACACAGCTCTATTATTCTACAATTAAAGGAAATTAAAACCATGTTTTTTAAATCAAATAATAAATAATTTCGTTCTTTTAAATAAAAGAACAATAAATATTTATTTAATCTTTATAGTTTTATATACATATGTATTAAAAGTTCTTCATGTACGAGATTAAAAAACTTTCTAAAAAAACCTTTCGTTTACAACTTATAGTTTTAAAAAAATGTTCCTCTTTGAAAATCATACAGTTTATGTTAAACGTACGTACGAAAAATCGATTGTTTTTTTTAAATTAGATGTAAAATAAAATTATAAAAGTTAATAATTGATTTTTAAATAAAGTATGACTTAAAATTATTAAATTTGTGATTATAAATAAAACTACTATAGTGTGAATATATCAGTCATCACGGCTTTTGCACAATATTTTTCTGGCCAAGCCAATGGCCTGATCTCAGAGAATCTCACAGCATCTACAATATCTCGGCCGATGGCCAGTTGTTACTGGTGGTGGTGTGACAGGGGCGAAATACGCATGCACTTTAATATTTGGTAAATGATTCTAAAAATATTTTAAAATATAAATGTACATATTAACATAAAAATACTAATTATTTCAAGAATTGGTTAAAATATGTTCAAACTTTGAATTTTAACTTCAAATTTGTATTTGAAAAGTGTTTAATAACTAATGTTCATTTAAAATTTTATTTTACATTTTTATTTAAAATTTTATTTTAAATTAGATATAAATATCATTAAAATTTTATCAATAAGTTTTTTTTGGAAGTACTAAATTTATATCTGATATTTTTTTGGAAGAACAATTGCTAGCAATAATTCATAACTATATTTAAAATATGAAAAATTACTGCATTTGAAATACCGTGCCTAAATATTTAATTAACGGTTGGCAAATGTTTTCGTAATTTAAAAAAAAATAAAATTCAAGAATAAATTTTTTTCATAATTCAAATAATCATTATTTGAATTATGAAAAAATTCAAATTTACTACCAGAGCTTTTGCAAAAGAAAAAAATCGGACAACTTTTTAAATCGATTTTCTATTTAGTAAGAACAATAATTTGGACGACACTTTAGAATAGGTCTTTTATAATTTGGATGATCGGGGTTTAATGGTACGTCAATTGCACAAACTAAAGTCAATTAAAGTTAAGTATTAAAAAATATAGTATGAGATAAACTCATGAATATTAATAAATATAAAAAAATTAATGTTATATTAAAACAAACCATCTATGTGCTACAGCAAAATATGAAGGATTAAAAAATTATTCTATTTCAATCATACATATACCTTTAATTTTCGTATTGCTGCTCTCGTTATCATCTGGCAGTCAAATAGCTCAATCCTTTGTAAATTGTGACATGATACTAAATGCTCTAACGTTCTATCAGTTATTAATGGGCAATTATCCAATTCAAGGACGGATAAACTTTCAGCTGCACAACTACCGGCGGCTAGCTGACGTATTCCATCGTCTGTTATTAATTCGCAATGAGATAAAGTCTAAAATAATAGTAAAAAATGGGTATCTTTGTTATATGCAATAAAATATTTACCAACATTTTTAAAAGTATTGTCTTTTTTCCTGATAAATATTATATTGAAATTTGAAAAATATAAGCGTTCGATTTTGTAAATTTACTGCGGATCGAGAATTTTACACCATTCGTAAAAAAAAATACAATATTATATTTCTCTTATTTTAAATAAAGAAAAAATAGTAAAACACTAGCGTTTTTTATTATTGAAAGTGTCGAATTGATTTCGAACTTCGACAAAAGGAATTTAATGAGTTATGAAACCAATACAGAACTATCGATTTTGATAAATATAAATATTTTGACTCTTTTTCTCTTATTTTAGTTAAACAGTCACAACTAAAGAGAAAAAAAATCATTAGGTTACTCTACTTGAAAGCCGATATAATTTTTACAGTTGAAAAATCCATTGTCGAATAGGTCAGTTAATCGTCGATTAAACAGCAAAAACCAAACAAAAAAAAAGACCAAACGCTTGAAAAAACGTATAATTAAAAGACCAATCGCATGAAAAATTGCAAAGTAGAACTAATTTTTCTTTTTACAATTTACAAAAAAGATAAGAAAAGATATCGCAAAAAAATTTTGACAAGAAGTCTATAAATGCGTTCATATTTTTCAACAAATATATGAAAATTTGCGTCACATTGGAAAATAAAAATTACAATAGATATATCCTAAAACATTTATCCAGGAAATACTTCTACTTTTTGATCCAGCGCATAATCCTGCAATCCATGAACCTGAAAATGCTTGAAGTAAGTTATATATAGCGATTTTTTTTTTTATTTCAACACAATTTTGTTTTCGGCTTTGGAGCAACGATAGGGTCAAAGAGAATTTTCGCTCAACTCATCGTAGTGGATCCCAGCACATCGAAAAAAAAAATATTTTGAAAATAAATAATATCGTTTTGCTTCAAAAATTGTAAATTAAAAATAAAAGTTTTCTTTTTGCTTACCAATTTTTCTAAACTTGGGCATCCGGTTGCTAGATGAGCTAATGTCAAGTCAGTTATTTGGTTACATTCTTCTAGATCCATTCGTTCCAAATATTTGCAATTTTTTCCTAACGCTTGAAACCCTAAATCTGTAAATTGATGACATCCGGAAACTTCTAATGTATTTAATAGAGGATTATGTTGAGCTAATGCAATCAAGGATTGATCTGTCAATTCAGCACACTTTGATACGCATAACTTTCTTAAATTTAAACAATTTTCTGCAATTCGCTGTATTGAGTAATCCGTAATATTCTGCAATATGATGGAATAACACTTTATGAACATGATCAAAATTAACTTTATAAGTATCGCTGACTGGAAAATTGCAGTAACATGGTAATTGTAGTAATTTTCAATTTTACTTATGATTTTCAATTGTTGAATTGTGTAGCAATACAGAAACTGCAATTTTAAAGTCAAGATATGAAAATTTTGTCACACATTAAGCATTTTATAATTCATGTTATCATTAAAATCATTAATAAATCTTCGGCTTCTAACTAAAAACATTCGGCAAACACTTAATGTATATAAAAGATTGGTAAATTAGATGGAGCCGTCAACTTGACTTTTTCGAATTTTGCCATAATCTGCAGAAAGTTGGAATGATTTTAGTAGTGTTTACCACAATGTTAAAGCAACTTCAACTTCAAGTGAGATCTTGATAGATTTCTACAAAACAAATTTTGAATATGTGTTACTCCTGAACAAAATTACGCTAAGAATTCTCTCAAAAAGGAAGGAATAAAAGTTGTGTTACATTATTTTAGTTTTTTAAAAACGCAGATTCTAATTTAAAGAAAACTTTTTTAACGAAATGCTTTGTAAAAAGTAGAATGTAAATGTTAATCCAAAAAGTTTGCAACCTGGTAGAGGACTTCTTTTGGGCTTTTATAAACATATAGAGCTTTTATGTAAGAAAACTTACCTCGCAACTATGCAAGTTGAGCACCATCAAATCAGGACAATATTTAGCTAAACATGCTACCGCGTTATCATTGACCTGCTTACAACCCTTACTACTGAATTTTTTCAATTTGTTACAACCCCGAGCTATAGCTTCAACACCATTTTCAGTTATAAGATGACACCACGATACATTTATTTCGGTTAAATGCTATACATACATACATATAAGAAAAAAATAATTTTGTTTTTATTATTCTTTAATTTTTTAATCACCATTATTTAAAAGAAACAAGAAAAACGCTATTTTTAATAGCTTACAGGACATCCGTCAGAAATTGATTTTAGGCTATTGTCGGTAATATTTGCACAGGAATCTAAGTTAACTGATGTTAGCTTGGAACAGAAACGACTTATTGACATTGTTGATAGATCGGTTATTTTCTTACATTCTGATAGGTCAAGATGTTCGATATTATGGCAGTGATTAGCTAATGTCCTATATAGCGTAAAGTAAAAATCCATTAGCATTTTGAAGTAATAAGAATAAAACAATTTAGTGCGAAGATTTCATTACTTATAATAGGTATTAAAAAAATATGAACACATGTTAACTCTCTTATTTTCATTTAGAATCATATAAAGCCGCTATTAAAATTTCACATTAATTTCATAGCATATTTTGCTTTAAGAACTAAGTTTAGTTTAGTAAACAATGTTAATTTACATTAAACTATGATTATGACATGAAATACTAATAATTTTTATAATTTTCAATACTAACCTTATAGAAATATCGCCTACTGATTGGCATCCTCGCAGTGATAAAAACTTCAGAAAGCCACCACATCTCTGAGATATATTTTCTATAACTGGGCCCTTAATAAAAAAAAAAACGGAAAATAAAAATTTTTTGAATGTTTATTACGTTTATTTTTTGTACAATTTTTTTTTAAATTTGAAACATCTATTTAAATTCTATACCCTTAGGAGCCACTTTAAATGGTGTAGACAATTTTTGCTTTATGTTTTTGTATATTACATGTATACATATTATACAGGGTGATTCCAAACTACTGTTAAAGGTCTCATATGCTGATTCCTTGGAGTTATTTAAGAAAAACATTGTTTGTTTGGGAAAAGAAAAGAGTTCGGACACGTAGACTGGTAATCAGACCGGTAGATTCGGAGACTTAAAGGAAATTAGATTGAAACAATTCTGTTTGAATATTGAATATTACTTGAAGTTTGAGATCAATTATTGATATTACCATTATGTAGATCTATTATAGCTGTTATAGATATCTGTCAGACAGAATTACTTCAATTTTTTTTTTGAGTCATCCCCTCCCCCATTACAGAACTATCAGTCCAATTAGTATGAATCAAAATTCAATAGGATAAATGAAAATTGGAAATCTAGTTGTCATTTTCACTTTAATTTCAAAAGTAATTGAAATTTCCATGAGTAAACATGAAATTACATAAATATTTTAGTGAAAAAAATTATAAAACTAGAGAAAAAATAGAGATTTTGTCATTATTTATAAAATCGTAAAGGGCAACCGTCGGCAAATTTTTGTGAGTTATAGGCAATTATGTACTATGTGAGTATAAGAGAATGGCTCCCTCAAGTTTCTTAAAAATAGAATTCGAAAAAAACAAAATAAATGGTATAGGGAAATTGATTGCAAATTTGCAAAATATCGATTTCCATTTAGAATTTTGAGTTCGAATTTTCTAAAAAAAAATATTAGAAATCTTTATTTTTTAATTACTTCTATATCTCTTTGAAAGTCAAACAAATTAATTTTTTGCCAACTCGAACCATCTAATGCTAAGACGTTCCAATATTTGCACACCTGAAATACACAAAAAAAATAATTTTGTATCAAATTTCTATTAAAATTAAATATATTGTCCTTAAATAAAATTTAAGTATGAGTATGCCAAACTTATGAAACAAAGGAAAGTAAGAGAAAAAACAAATTCAGAGTAAACTTGATATTTAGCTAACATTATTTAAAAATTAATATTACTGTGCATTAAATTTTTCAACTTAAAATTTTGCGAAATTATTTTGAGGTGCTGCTCGAGCATATGGCAAATGAGGCAATTGTAAGAAAAAGTTTCGTTTCCTTTTAACTTGGAAAGCTGTTTCTTACAATCTTGATTTAAGTTGAGTTTTGTAGTAAACACTTATTTCCAATTTTATTCAAGCTATGTAAGTTATCTTTTAAATAATATTGTATATATGGCACAGGTTCACGGCATGTGATCCGATTTCACGGAAAAGTTAAAATATTTTTCAGTTAGTTTCATTAACAAAGAGAACTTAATAATAATTAATAACTCATATAATCAAAAAATTTTAGTTGACCCGTAGTAAAATTCCGGGATTAAAACCGTGATATTTTAAAAAATTTACTAATCCAGATATTTATTTTAATAATCAGAATTAAAGTAAAGAATTACAAAGAAATTCTTTAGTTATTTTCCTATATTTTTAACTTATTTATTTATTTACAAAATTTCAGAAGAATCATTTCAGTACTTTCTTATAACGACCATAAATGTAAAATTGACCTTTAGTTAAGATCGATTTGTTTAGACCTGATAAGACAAAATTGAAAAACTACAAGCTCGTTAGGGACTGCAAAAACCGAATTATTATGTGTACAAAAATTTTAAGCTAATTCGAAATGTTGAACGTAGAACCAAAATTTTTTAAAAAAACAGAATATAAGCAGCAAGACGCGATGTATAAAATCTCGGGCCATGGTCTAGAGTGTAATTTAGAAAATGTTATAGTTAATAGTTATGTTTACAAAATAAGTTTTTGGAAATTTTTCAAAGCGTTTTTGAGATTTAATACAGTATTCGCAATATAGGAGAATAATAAGAGAAGTGGGAAACATGTTTTACTTTCACACAATTTTCTCTTAAAATAATTTAAACATTTTTTATAACATGTTATCCGAAAATAACAATATTTAAATACATTTTTATCTTTTGAATAGGGTATAAGACCCAGAACCTAAAATTTTTTCATAAAATATTATTTATATTGTTTTACTGTTAAATCACTATCCTGGTAAGTAAAAGGTCACCGCAACTCTCATTTACTTTTATGTTTTTTAAAAAAAATATATAAAGTTTATATTATGAAGAAAAAAAAATTATCACCGCCTTTTTATGTTTTAAGTCATTTACATCTAAAAATACCTAAAATATTTTTATATAAATAAATTTTGGAGTTTTATTTTGATGTTTGCAAAAACTATTACCAAAAGAAAGAAGTTTGCAATCAAAATAAATTTTATTAAAAATATATTTTCTAAAATTTATAGAAAATCAATCGGTACAGATCTTCCTCATTGCCATTTAAAAGGGTACTGAGTTAAATTACGAAAAAAAAATTAAAATAAATTTTAAATTGAGAAAATAGCGTAAATACGCCAAACCCTAAGCATATTTTCATGTTATTACAAATTCTTACTGAAAACTTGTTTATATCTAGGAAAATATTAGGTATTTTAAATAATCAGAGGTAATTTAGAATTAATGCAAAATATCTTCGACAAGTCAAAACTTTGAAAACTGCCAAAATAGGATATTTGGAAAAAAGGTACGTTCCAATATCGTAGCATATCAAAATTAACTCTTAGAATAGTATCAAATTAAATCTTAGAATAATTTTACAAAACATAAACAAAATCTTAACAATCTAAAACATTGTTAAAATTTTGTTTTTATGCTGTAAAATTACTCTAAGTTTGAAAAAAATCTTATAGTATAGAAATAATAAATTATTGCTATGGATTAAATTTTTATGTATATCCATATAACTAATATCATTTAACCAATAAATCTATAAAAGTAAGATTTTTAATTATTAAGATTTTAGTTGGAAGAACCTACAAAGGAGCAATTTAAATGCCTTTAATTGTTTATTTCTCTTATAATATACAAAAATAAAAATAAAAAAATATTGAGCAATTAAAAAGAACCTACTACTTCAATACTTTGTCCAAAATAAAAAATAATTTCAACAGAAAATAAATTGAGGTAAAACGTACTAATTATAGCGAAGTTGATCCGATTGAAGAAGTTCGGTTTAACACGATTTGACCCAATTTTTAATAGGTGGCCTTATATTTACTAGGGCAGGGGTTAAATTATAAAAGTTTCAAAATTTTTATTGAACTCACTTGAGCACATCGACATAATGAAACAACATCCAAATACGAAAAAATGCGAAGTAATATTTCTTTTGGCAGTTGCTCTATAGGTTCATCATCTGAATCAGGGGCTTGGAATGTTTGCTGTAATAAAAAAAATATTAAAAATAAATAATTTAATTCGCACTAAAATCTCAAAAAAATATTTTCAATAATTAAAGCAATTTCAATTATTTCTTCTTATTATAAAACCTTAGGTGGCGAAATCAAAAAAAGGTTTGAAATAGATATACTGAAATTGTCTAAATGTAATTTATACGAAAAAAAAACAGAAAAAAGTAATGAAATATAGAAATACATATTGATATACATATGTATAGATGTAATGTAGAAATAAATATATTATGTAAGTAAATATGTCATATGCATATTAAAATTGCACAAATATAGAAAAATGTATGTATTTACGTATGTATAAGTACATATGTATGTAATTTGAGCAATCAGAGCAAAATCTGGATCAGTACAAAAAAAATCAGTACAAAAAAAAAATAAAATTTCCGCTAAAAAGGCTTTAAGATGAATGCATCAAGTTGGCTTTGCTTTTCATAACTTAAAATGCAAGGCAGAAAAAAAAAATGTTCTCTAATATTTTTGTCTGAACTTTCTAATAGAACTTTGCTTCGGAAAAACCACCCAAGTCTCACATAAAATGCATTGTATGTGGTTAAATTTCACAAATTCTATTCTTCACGTCTACAAGAAACTTTCTTAGAAAGTCAACTATTTACGTAAGATAAATCTTTCCAAAAATGAATTGACTGTATGCGTCGATTTCAGTTTACCTAATATGAACTGAGACGCACATGACGTGGAACAGTTCCTAGTTTCTATTAATTGTTGTAGGGAACTTAAATCTTTTTATACCCGTACGAACGTATGTTCGAAGGGTATACTAAATTTGCCTTACCGTTTTTAACGTTAAGAAATTTGTTAAAATTTCTTGGCTTTTTCTGGTAGCTGCCATACAACTTCAGTAGTAGTTTGGCACACACAGTATTTTGAAAAAACACAGTACTGAAATTTTGCATAAATTAATATGATAAAACGGCAACTTAAAGTCATAGTCTGTCCCACAGTCAGTTATAGCATTTTTTTTCGTACATGCGATAACAAATTCGTACGGGTCGCGAACAAATTCAACTCTATTTTTTCTCGTTTAATTTAATTAGCACAAATTTTTGAAAAGACAATTTGACTTTTATCCAGTTTTTTACTCCGCTGATATATATTAAAGTTTGATAAATAACAAGCAACTCTTTTGCATTGATGGTAGATTGTAAAGATAAATGAATATCTCTCTGCTTATGTTGTCTATTTAGTTTACATATAGTGAAGTTCTATAAGACTGTGAAGTTTTATAAAACTTGAAACTCGGACATCTGAGATCAACAGGATGTACCAATTAAGAAGCTTGTTGATTTCTGCCAAGCATAAACTAAAGAAGTAAGAGAGATGTAGAGACATACAATATAAAATGTAATGGTTGCATTTTATGTTGTATGACCCAACGTTTCGGCCAAATAAAGAGACGAGTAAAATCAAGATTGAAGGAACACTTAAATGGAGTAAAAAGACGCGAAAACCAAGGATCGACAATTTTAAATCTATGATTGCTAAAAATTTATATAAAGCGGATCACACGACAATGATGAAGTTCCGCGAAAAAAGTTGAGCGAAAATTTATGAAAATATACAGATAAACAAATCCACTGAAAGTGTTTAGAAAAGTCTCTTAAATTTTGGAATAACAAATGTCTTGGGACAATGCCGAGATTGTATGCCATGACTGGGTTTAAATTATTTTGTCTTTAACTTTTTCAAGTAATTAAGCTTACGTATCATCTTTCAGCCCCTCTAATGTGAAATAATGTTGATGGATCCATTCAATCAAGTTTTCTTTGGCACCACCGAAAAAACTAAGATTTGAACTTGAAACTTTGAAATGACAAAGTTCAGAGTAAAAATGTACTTATATTGCGACAACTGGACATTTTGTGTTTTACCATGTTTAGTTTATAACGAAAATTTTTATTTTGTAAGCTTTAGGGAAGCCTACAAATAAGATAAACAGCCGCCACATTGTAATGTAACCGCCACATTGTTACAATGGTTTTTTAGTTCAATGTAGACATGAAGAAATTTTTTGTTGTGAAATGAATGCAAAAATGATTGAATACAAACAAAAATGTAAATAACAATTAAAATAAAAAAATGAAAATAAGTAAGTAAAGAAAGAATATACAAAAACCTAAAAATAAAGTAATTTTTTTCCAAAATTATTTTAAAACCATGTGTTCACATACGCACAACCACCAAGGCTTTTAAAAACTATAAATTTAATATAATAATAGTTATATATATATACGTACAACATATATATTCTCAGGTAAATTATCTATTGAATCATCATCCATCTTTTACTTCCCTATTCAATTGACTGTCGTGTTGTTGATTACCAATAAAGAGTTCAATGTTGAATTTTTTGTTGGTTTAAATTGTTGCTAATTTCGTTGCAGTTTCTGTTTTAATTTTACTTTAACTTAAGTTTAATTTAATTTAGTAATATTTATAAACTTTCCACTTAACTTTTTACTGCGACTGTTGTTATAATTTCTTTTTTGAGTTATCATATTTTTTAAACATTTTTTTTATTAATTTAAGTCTAATTTTGATTAGAAAGAAATTTTTTTGTTAGTTTAACGTTTACACTAAAGTGTATTTTTTTTCGTACATTTCAAAATAAGAAGTTTGCAAAGTTTGGTTGCAGTCTGATATTGATTTTGCAAAATATATTTTATAAATAATTTTTTTCAATTTGTTCTTGGAAGGAACATTGTTCTAAGGAAGGAATTTCTTTTATGCTTTTTATTTATTTTCCTTTATTCATACATAACGTATGCGTATATGTGTGTGAAATTGTTAAAAACAACGTTTGTTTAAACCCATAATGAAATAAAACTTAAATATATACTTATATACATATACAACATATATTCTTTAGTTTATTATTTGTTACTTTTGTGTGTTTATTATACATGAATATACATAGTATTTATATTATCCATCGCAATTCAATTATCATTAAATCTCAAACTGTAAGTATGATAACCATATTAAGACAAAATGAATGAAATTAAAATTTAACTTACAGAAATTAATATATATACGTAGCTTCTCTTCTTCATTTTTACATATAATGCAAAGAGGATTAATAAACTTTGAACTTGACAAAATAAACCACGTATTGAAATTAAAAATAAACAAAGTATCATTCTAAAATGCTAATTTTAAGCAACAAAAGAAGAAAATATGTATTATGCATACAGTGAAAATAATACGAAAAACAAAGGATTCAGAATAAAATTAATTTATAGCGAAAATTTAAATAATCAATTCATAATGTTAATAGTACTATATAAGGTTGTGGTTTTTTGCTATTGTACGTAGTCGTTCAAACATAAAATTTTGGATTAAAAATTTGAAAATTTTTCAAAAAACCGTTAATTATCTCAAAAATATCCGTTTTTTTTTGTTTCGATGAACTACACCATCCTCTACAACTTTGCTGCACAAAATTTTCATGGCACGCGTGACGTTTTGAAGGAAAAGTGACAATTAATGTAAGTAATTTTTTCGATACTTGTAAAAAAGGCAACTATACTAAAAAAGAAAAAAAACTAGTAAAGGTTTGAGTTGCATAAAATTTGTTTTTTTTTTTCGTGCAAAACTTCCTTTAATCTTGCAAAAGACATATTTTGCAAAAGTTGATGTGAAAGCTTTCGTCTGCACATGTTCTTACAATGTTGATAATCAGTACATTATGGGAATCATAGCAGGTAGTGAAAGATGTTTGTGAGATATAAAAAATTCATTAACATGTAATCATCGTTCGTATGCAATTATTTTTACAATTAGATAAACAAAATAAAAATATCTCTGGATTGCGAAGACGTCAAACATGATCAGTCAACATAAATCTAGGTCATAAAATATAAAACAATAAATTATAATACTTAAAATATAAAAAGAAAAATATTCTGCAATCGTTCTCAAGTTGAATCTTCAAAGGGGTTCCATCTAAAAACCATCCAACTTTTAAATTTTTTTAAATTTAATTTTCTAAAGGGGTGCAGGGCAAATATGAGCTTTATAAGTATCATATGCATTACAATATCCGATGTACTCTGTGCGCACCAACTTATACTTGTTGATATCTTGAAGATAAAAGTAATTAATTTATAAAAAAAATAAAGATTTTTATCCAATATATGTATGTATGTTATTTTCTGTGTAACAATAATAAACAGAAAATTAACTTTCCATGATTATATCAAAATATTGGAGGAACCATATGAATAAAAATGTTTAAGTATAATAAGTTAATTAATATTCAAAATTTCCTTACAGTTTTATTTCTATATCAATTGAAAGAACATTGAAAATTGCCAATCAATTACTTGCTTTTAGATTTTATTTGGCTTATGATTTTAAATTTTTTTTCATATTGTTCTTACAGTTGTTTGTTGGAATCAGGCAAAGCTGTGGTTACTCGTACATATATTATCACAAGCATGTATTCTTTTTTTAACGTTTTAAATGAGAAATGTGTGATGAAGGTAGATTTTTTAGACATAAATATTGCCAGATTATATAATTATAACACATTTTTTTTTTAACCTGTATACTTGATTTAAGATTGGTAAAATCAGTTAACATTTACCATAACATAAAAATAATTTGTTTTCATTTCGCACTAAAAACTCGTATGTTTAAACTATTATAGTCTCACACTTCTACACACATATAAATGTATACAAATTTTTCAAATATAATAAGTTTTATACTCCAATTCCCAAAACCAAGTTAGTTTATTTTATTGCTCACGCATCCATTGAAGCATGTTTATATTTAGCATAGAGTAGAACATTTTCATTTTTCTGGAAACATACAATAAGAACTCAAGAAAAGTAGAATACTCGTATTTTCTGAATTCTGTGAATAAAACCAATAAAATTGTAACTCTCAATTTAAAATTAAATTACACATTATGCAAGTTTCTATGTATTTACATGCAAATGTTAATTTAACGATATGCACATTGTATATACAAATGTCAACACATATTTCAACTTTGTGCAATAAGTTGGACTTATGTAATATTGTTAAAAACATAGAACTATAACATTTACAACTTACATAATATGCACATAATATCGCTGCAGGAATTAATTTTGAAAATTAACTTTACAATATAAAACTATGTACTTATGTATGCATTTATGTATATATGCATATTATATTATTAATGTTAATACATATTACAATTTGTAATAAATAACAATCAACATTAAAATGTAACTATTTAATACATAAGCACATATGTTGTATATGTAGAATGAGCAGCGCTGTCAAAAGCAAATATTTATCTTCCAAATGAAGGTTTTTTGGTCATACTTTTGATGCAAAATTTTAAAATAAGGTTTTTAAAATTTTTAAATTTTACAACAAAAATAGCTTCAATATTAAGGTTTTTTAATGCTACAAAAGTTTTTCAAAATAGGAATTTTTTGCACCTTTTTCCATATTTTTAAAAATTCACCAAAAAACATTTTGACAAAAAAGTCAATTTTATTAAATTACAAAATTCTAATATTTTCCGCTGCAATTAATTCCATATTAGTCGTACACATCGCATACACATCATATGTATGTCATTATGCATGTCATACATTTTTCTATCTGATGTTGTACTTGGTTCGAATTTAAATCGTGATAAGGATACGTCAAGATTTTTTTTATATCGAATCTCCAAATGAAGATTTTATTTAAAAAAAAATTTAAGGGCTAATCTATTTGGCAGCACTGAGACTGAGAAATAAGTATTTATGTAGGTATGTACGTATAATATTATTACTTACAAAATTAGTAACTTGTGCCAAAATTAATTGAGAATAAGTAAAATACATAATTATCTTAGTTTAAATATAAAGATTCAAGAGTTTATATAAATTTAGAAAATGAAATACATAGGTAGCCATCTTATTAAATTGTATATGATTTATATGTATGAATGAATATAAATGACATTTATTCAAATAAGTGAATATAATATATGTTGGCGAATATGAACGTACATATGTACGTATTTTATATTTTTAGTGTAATAAACTCTTCAAACTTCTTTTTCTGATATTAATTTACTTATTCTCTCACTTCTTTCAAAAACAAAAATTCACTAATTGTAACTTGTAATTAAAAACAAGAATTTCAAAGATTATTGCATTGGATAAAAATTTGCCTTAAAGGTTATTTTGCTTATTGCTTGTATGCTAGTTTAATTAAAAATAATACAAAAATGGCAATTCATATTTTAATATTATACAAAAATATGAAGTAGGTAAATATTATAATAAATAATATGTTTACAGTAAATTGTCTATCTTTTATCTAAATATATGTACATATCAGTGTAGAAGTCATATATATTACAAAAATCTATACTAAGAATCTGTGAATACATTCATGCACATGATACATATGTACATACTGTTGTCTGATTGAAATTCTATCATAGATTATATACATATGCATATACAACATCTCAATTTCATTCGATTAATTTAAATTTCATTTCAATTCAAAGTATTTGTGTGCTACATATTTCAAAATAATTTCTAAAAATCAATATATTGTGCACATATGTAGCTAGCTGTAGCTTTTAAGTTGTTTTTAAAAAAATTTTGACTAATATTTTAATATTCTCATATGATAGAATAGTGTTGCCGAAATTACGCATTTTTAATTCTGATTTGTCATCATGGTTCGTTTAAATCGCAATTCGATTTATAGTCATGTATGCATATGTGTATACGTATTAAACACAAGTAGTATCGACGTCGTTTTTATAATCATATATATAATGTTCATACACATACTTTTTTTCGTTTACTTTGCTGTGAATTTTAAAAATCATGTACATATACATCAATGCAAACATATGTAAAATCATACTTATGCACAAATTATATATATATATATATATATCGATTTTCAAACTTTTATATGATGTACATATATATATAATATAAAAATTAATAAACAAAAGACACAGATTTTATTTCTTTTCAAATATCATTTTAAAATAATTTTCATATTTTGAATTGAAAAAATAATTATTTTTTCTTTTAATTTTCGTTTACACGTAAAATATTACTTGTTTTAATAAAGCTTTTAATTTTCAAATATGTGTGAACACAAAAATTTTTTTTCTATCAAAATATTTTCATTCAATCAGCTGATTAAAAACACATCTATAGATATCACCATTTTTGAGCGCAATCATAAACATTTATTGCTACTTGCATACAACCAACTATACTTTCTACACACATATACATAGTTTTGTATTAGCAAAATAAATATCCATACATAAATATATTTGTGGGTATATAAAAATATTTAAAATTTTCTTTCATTAGACATAAGAAAATATAAATCAAAATAACTAATCGCACACAATTTTTTTAAATTGCATTTGAAAGTATATTTTAAATTACTTTAAAATATATAAATACATCAGTATGTACATATGTAATTTTATATCCAAATTGAAATTTTAATTTTTCAAGATTTTTTTTTATAACTCTGAGCACTTTTCGTTTCTTCGCGAGATAGATCTTTCATTTTATCATTAAACTTATTTTTTACTCAAAAATTTTATAAAGTTCTTAATTATAATACATTAGTTAATAATGCTTCCGTTAAGAGAATTTCTAATATACTAAAGTAAAATTATGAGAAAATTTAAGAAAGTTTGACTTATTGAAAGAATTGCCACGGGAAAAGAAAATATTTTACGATTTTCGTTTTAAAAAGTTGCCAAGTTAATAAAAATGTTACCAAAATTACAAGGTTGTTCCATGTACACTAAATAAAAACAAAATCTGATATGATCGATACTTATGTATCAAAGCGTAAAATGCATTTCTCGATTGGAAATTGTTGCAAAACTGACATACTGGGAAAATTGTAAATTTGGCTCTTAACTCAGATTCGCTTTATGCGAACTGATTTCCCTAAGTTCGTCAGTTAGTTGAAACTGAAATACACGAGTGCTTAGGCAAACAGACCGACATTTTGTTAAAAATATGTAATTCAGATCTTTGTTGAAAATTTGGCATGTGAGATTTGGTGCCTTATAACTTTAAATATTCGGTAAAAATATCCTATGATGCACAAACATGATATATATATTATATTATATTTTATTTTCTTTGAATTTTGTTTTTAAGCAAAACTACATTTTTGCTTTTGCACATTTATGATTAATTTTGAACAAATAGGAAAATTTGTTCTCAGCTGAAGTAAAATTTTTTCTACAAATGAAACTGCGATAACGATGTTTGAAAACAACATTTTTTGACAACTTTTACTAAAAAAAAGGTTACTTTAAATATTTTATTAAATTTAATAGGTAAGTTACGAAGTATCAAGAATTCGGGAATTTTGGGAACATTTACTAAATCAGATAAAATTTTCCAAGTTGCCGGATGAAAAACAAGTTAAAGTTTTTTGGAAAAAATTACCGAAACGACAACTCTGCTTTTAGAGTAATTTTCATTTAATTTGTAAAACATGTGTAGAAGTATACAGTATGTACATATGTATGTAAATGGAAATAAGGGCACAAGCGACATTTCTGAAAGTTCTGTATACCCGTGTTTTAAGTAAAAGATTTTAGTGTTTTAAGTAAGGACATTAGCAAAGATATTTTAGCATATTTAAGCATATTATAAAGATTCAAAAAAAAATTTTTTTATTTAAATTTATTAAAAAATTCCTTTTTCTAGAAATTTATTTTATAGATATTTTTAGAAATTTGTTTTTATTTAACTACATATATTTTTTAAAAAATTTAAATGAGCAAAATAAATAAATAAAAGCAAAATATGTATGTGTGTATTTTAAAAAAAAAATATTTTGAGAAGTTATGATGTGGTTCTTCATGTACTGAAGTCGACCACGAAACATAGAAAACGGAAACATAGGAAAGACAGGAAAAGTAACGAATAGGCAAAAAATAACCAAATAAAAAAACGTAGCAAATTTTTTTTGCGAAATCATCAAAGTAGCAGATTTAATTGCTACGAAAAACGAGAAAGAACTCCATTTTCCCCCTATTTTATCTTTGTGATGAATCATAAAAAAGGAACATGTTCCCTATTGTTTCTTGTTACTGGGCCCGTTGTAGTTCCCTAATTAGTGACTTTAAAACAAAATTTATAATTTTGGTTTTCTTGTTTTTGAAAAATCCTGATTCTAATAGGTAAATATGTATGTAAAAATATGTAATTATTTTTTTATGTAAATTTTCAAAACAAAAAAAAAGGCAAAGGTTATAAAAATGTGGCGGACAATCAAAGAATAAAGGCAAGGCGCGTTTTCATATCAAACATTGTGAGTTGCTCTTCAAACTTTTAAATCAAATATTGAAATTTGAAAGTTGGAAGTGTTTTGACATATGACTTAATACCATGGAATAGGTAGACACATACGTGCACAAATTTTTCTTAATTTGTTATGTAGTTCTTTTCCTTTTATCACTTTTGGTTTTATAATTCTAAATTAATAACAGTTTTGGTGAAAACAATCAAATATACATACATACATACAATGTAAATACATACAATACATAACTATTAAACGATTACGGAACCATTATTTTATTGGTTTATTTTCGTGTAAAGAATTGTGAGAGAATATTGGGATATTTTTCCAAATTGAATTAAAATAAAATTAATCCCATTGAAAATAGAAACAACAAACATTAACGTTACATTTTTGGTTTTGTACTTGAATCACTTGCTTTTATAAAACATAGGTCTATTTTTAATATTTTAATTTAAAAACTCTTCAACAAGAAAACACAGTTAACAGTTCCGTTGCAGCTTGTAAATGCAAAAAAAATCTCAGTCCCCGGAATGTTTTTTTGCAGTAGATGGGCACAGTATTTCGTAATATGTGCATACATATGTAAGTAGTGTGTGTACACTGTACATATGTACATAAATTAGTACATATTTATAAATGCATATTTTGTATATAAAATTTGAAATTGCAAGAAAAAGACTGAACTTACTTAATATTACGATTTGACCATTTAATGACTTATTGGTTAATAAAATTTTCAAATATAGTTTACTTACTTGAAATTTATTATTTCCAGAGTACGTCATAATGAAACAACCGATTTTAAAACAAATTGTTAAAAAGAGGATTCACTAGGTAAATTTTAAGCTTCGGAGGACATTAAACTTGAACATAAATATCCGAATAACAATACTCGATTTGATTTTAACTATTTGTACAAAAAAATGTTATAAAAAACTATAATTCATTTGAACACAAGTTAAAGCAATCCTTTTCCTTTGTTCACTTTTTTGCTATCCACAAACAGACAAAAGCAATATAAACAATAATGCAATCCATTAAATGTCAAATTTGCTTTCATGTTTCGAAAATGATGCCATAATATTGAAATTTTCTTAAGTTTTAACATTTACGTAACATATCCATTTATAATTTCTATAGAGTATAAGTCTTCTTTGATATTACGTTAAGCGGTTCACGCTAAAATTGTTAATACACAAGTTTTCGTTATTTATAACGAATTAAATATTTACCAAACTAAAATAAAAGAATATAAAAATATAAACCATTCGATTATAACAATTTGTGAGTCCATTTTGTTTATTTTTAATTAAAAATTATTGTAGATAAATTTTTTTTTTAAATAACACCTTCTAACAACCAAAAAAAAAGGGTTTCAACAGCTTTAAGGTTTCAAAATTTTTCAAAATTCTAAATTTTACTTTACAAAACTTGAAAATGCTAACATTTACTTTTATTTATTTATGATCTTCCAATAATATACAAATTTTTGTCTTAAAATAATTAGTTAATGATATTATAGAGCTTAGGCTATTTTAAAGTCTTTACAACTAAGATATTTTTAATGTTTTACATATTTGATATTTGTTTAATTAAGAGATTTACATTTTCAAGGAAAAATGGGAAAAAACCTTATTTAACTTCGAACTTCAATAACTCAAACTAAGATAAAATTGTTATCAGTTACTAAAAAGTTTAAATTTGTTATTTTATGGTTATTGTTGGTACATATTTTTAATGATTTCGTTATCAATTTTCTGAATTTTCTGATTTAAAATTGAATTTCTCCTTTAATATTAATATTTTATTATCTTTCAAACTGGCCTTCTTCCTCCCTATAGTTTTCAAATTGGCCTTTTTCATCTATAGCCTCAAATTGACATTAAATTTCATTTTCAAGAGTTTGTTCTGTGCTAACTGTACCCTCGAAATGTGGGCCTTCGCGCAGTCACCCCAAGCTGGAGAACCGTACAGCAAAATGGGTTGGAAAATGGTTTTCATTATAATTAATTTATTTTCCACAGATAAACTCGAGTTCTTATTGGTAAATGGGTACGGAATTCCAATTACTTTTTACATTTGTCTATATATGTACTATAGTATTCAAGATTTGTTATTTAAAAGTAATCTTTGATTCCAAAGTGACACCCAAGTATTTAACAGAATCCACCTAATGAATCAGGTTATAAAGTTTTCTCAAGTTTTATACAGTTTTTAAAATTTTACTTATACCAGACAAACCTAATACATGTAAATTCTAGAAAATAGATTTTTATTAAGTTAGAAAAATTTTTTGGAGAAGACACTGAAAATATAAGTACTTTAGACAACCATCCTAAAGTTAAAAAAAATTTTACAAAATGGACAATTATTTTTTTGCAATATAATTTTATAATCTTTCGATTTTAAAAAAACCGGTCATCATAAACATTGAAAAATTTTTCTCTTAATTTTACTGACATTTAAAAAAAATAAAAAGGGGGTTTTTTTTTAAATCTCAATTAATCAATTATGTACAGATAAATTGATGTACATATATGCATACACATACATATGTTTACTTCGAAAAAGTTCGTAAAAAATGAATTATGATTTTTTATTGAAAAATAAGGAATAACTGACTAAATTTGAGATTACTGATGTTGAAATTGTCTTTTCTGACTTTCACGTTAAAAATCCCCTTTTTTGCCGTTGAAGAAAAAAACTTTTAGCTCCTCTTAATGTCAAACCATGGTTGAGTGTCAGGTGATCGGAAAAACGACTATTTTTTTTCCGTTCATGAATAGTCGTACCGACTCTCACTCCACGACTATAGTCCACGACTGTATTTCTATCAGCCACGCTTTAGAATATTATATGCATGTATGTACACCAAGGGCGCTCGCTATATGTTTAAAAGATTGTCTACAATTTAATGGACGCGAAACTTGGTTCATAGGTGATAGTATACATTTCAAAAAACTTAAACTAAAAATATATGTATATAAAAAAGTAATTAATTTTCTTAAATTAAAAAAAAGAAACTTAAAACATGGAAAGTTCAGCAGAGTTAGCTCTTCAGGCACTATATTCAAATTCAGATACAGATGAAATGTTCTTGATGCAAATAGAAAAATTTTCAATATCAGATAGCTGTTGCATGACGTTTCCCAAATTTTTTAATGCAATGTTTAGACAAAAAATTATTTTGTCACTAAAAACATTTTCAAAAAACTCTGGAACAATTATAAAATGTATGTAAGTCTAATGCTTTTTGTAAATGTAAGTCTTATGCTGTATATATGTGCATATATGTACATATGTATACCCGGTATATTGTATTTTTACATAATTCATCTATGTACCCCCTTCATTGCTAACTACAAGTAAAAGCTTTTTATTAAATAGACTTCAACCGTTGCAATTTTAGGGCGAGAGCATGAATATAACGGATTGAAATTTTTAAAAATTTATAAGCCAAATTGCAACAGTTACCTTCAAGAAAATTTAAAATTTGAAATATCTGAAAATTCGAAAAAACAGATATGCAAATTTTTACATGAATTTGCATTATCACTTAAGGAACAAGTGGAACTTTGTCCAGGACACCAAAAATCTGATATATCAAAACCCCGAATTCAAATCTATCATTTTTCAATGAACAAGCAAAACAACACAATAACGGTTCCTCCAAAAAGTAAACGTTCTACTAAAATTTTACCAGAACAACATACATCAATAGATCATTATCGAAACAAAATTTTAGAAAGTATTAATAAAAGTCAAGTTATTATAATAACATACGATATTGGTGTTGACAAATTAAGTATTTCAGAAATTATATTAGAAAATTCTTCCAAAAACAATGAACATTGTCGTATTGTTTATTCAAACAACCAAAAATTTGTTGCAATTAAAAATAGTGAACTTATTGCAAAGCGACGTGGCGAACTTTTGGGTATTACAACGGGCTATCAAATTCCGTTAAAAAGTGTATCTAGTTGTAATAAAACCAATTTGTTATTCACTTCCACATCGTATTTTTTAAGATGTTTGATGGGAATCAATTCTAAAGATGTATTTTATGGTTTAACACATGTAATTTTGGATGACGTACAGGAAAGAGATTTCCAAATGGATTTGTTGTTGTTTGAAATACGAGAAACTTTGACCTTTTACCCAAAATTAAAAATTTTACTATTATGTTCAAACCCATATAACATAAAACCTTTTGAAGATTATTTTAAAAACATAGAAGTCCTGAATTTGCCCCTAAATTTTCAAACTGATAAAGTTCCTCAAGTTTATAATTTAAGCAAAATCTTAAAAATGGTGAATTACCTTACACCGGAAATGGAAGTTTATACTACTTCATCCTATGAGAATAAAAAAGTAACATTAGAAGATCCGCAATCTCAACTTATGATAAACAACTTACTGGATCGATATATTAATGAGCTTGATGCAGAAGCTTTTGATAAATTTTGTTATTTAGTACAAGAAGAGCACATTCCTGTAGATATTCAGCACAATGAACACTTCATGAACATGTTAATGGGAGCTGCGAAAAATGACGAACTAGATCATTTAAAAATTTTGCTTAAACTAAATGCAAACGTATATTTACAGGACTGTAATAAGAGAAATGTTCAAGATTGGGCGAGCATTTCAAAAAGGCAAGCCGCTATATATTGATCAAATATAGCATATATTCCCTAATTTTTCTTTTCAGCACACAATGTTTATGCGAAATACAAAAAGTAATAAATTCGAAAACCGCAGATGAAAAATTTCCTGAAGAAATGAAGCGTTTAAAAGCATATCGATATACTCGAATAAATAATTTTGAAGTAGATCATCTCCTTGTTTTTGAACTCTTAAAGTATTTGCATAACAACGTCTTAAGAGGTTCTATTTTAATATTCGTACCCAATTATGACGACATGTTAAAAATTCAATTCTATTTGGAAAACTACTTCAAAAATAAGAAGATAGAAAGTTACATAATCCTCAAATTGCATAATAATAGCAAAATGTCGGAAATAGACGAATTATTTAAAATATCATATAGTAATTTTAAAAGAAAGTTTATATTTGCAACTCAAATCGCTGAAGTTTTTTTAACTTTAACTGATATTTTATATGTCGTGGATTCAGGTCTAATTAAATTATCTAACCATAGTATCGGAACTTCTAAAATTCAATGGATTAGTAAAGACAGAGCTGAAAGACGGAAATGTGTCGCTAAAGATGTTGAAAGTGTATGCTTTAGATTATACACAGTTCAAGATTTGTCAAATTTCCAACAAGTCATAATTCCAGAATTGATGCACATGCCTTTGGACAATGTATGTTTGTTTGCTAAAGTTTTGTCGCCATATACAACAATCAAAGAATATTTTATGCGTACTATTTCGACACCTTCCAACGGGCAGGTAGAAAAAAGTATTCAGCTATTAAAGGCTATTGGTGCACTAGAAGAGCAGGAATCAATTACAAGTTTGGGTATAATATTTCTTTTTATGTACATATATATTTCGTTTTGTAAGTAGTGCTAGTTTTTATTTTAGGAATTCGTCTTTTGGATATTCCTTTACCTGTTCAATTAGGTAAAGTGCTTATTTATAGCATATTTATGCAATGTCTTGATCCTGTTCTTACAATAATAAGCATTTTGCATTTTAATGATCAATTTATGATACCCGATCCAGGAAATAATAATCTTTACTTGTGCCTAGGCAATTTAGCAGAAAAATCAAATAGCGATCACATTACATTTTTACGACTTTTTCAAAAATGGCAAGATGACAAACTTGATTCCATTTTTCAACCTTCATCCCTAGGAATGTTTCTTATGGACCAAAATCTTCAGGTTATATGTGAAATCCGTTCAGAAATTGTTGGAATCGTGAGATCAGCTCAACTAATACATGCCACTGGTTTGCTAAGCATGAACTATATAAATTCATTTGCCAACAATTGGAGTATGGTGAAAGCTAGTTTCGCTGCAGGAATGTATCCAAATATTTGTCATATTGAAAAGGATCATCCCATATCAGATCATGTTGAAACTCAATTTAAATGTAATAACATGAGGTGTGGAAGGAAGCTTTTCCTATATCCAGGTAAAATAAATTTAGAATTGTTTCCTTTTTTAATTTTAACAAGCAAGCTAAAATAATCAGGTTCAGTTTTACGAGACGTTGCACCAGATTCTTGGAATAAAAAATCTATCTCCTATCAAACGGATTGGCTTTTTTATCAAAATGCTATACATAGAGAAAAAGTTTGCCGTATTCATTGTAGCACTCTTATAACGCCAATTACTATAGCATTATTTTGCGGAAATCTTAAAAAATCTGACATAGATCTCGTCAGTGAAAAAGTAACAGAAAAAGATTCAAATCAAATGCAAAACGAAAAAACAGATACATTAATACAAATGCTTGTAGACGAATGGATATCTTTTACAATACCAAAGGTAGATGCGTTGTTGATATTTCATTTAAGACAAAAATTTTCTCACCTATTTATGGATCTTCTGCAAAACTGCGACAATCATGAAAAACTTCAAAGATTTCGTCATTATTATACCGAAAAATTAAAAGTTTTAGAAATCATTTCAAAAGTTTTGCAGAACGAAGATATAAATGTTAATTTCCCCCAATTAGAACGTATAGGAGAAAGACCTAAAGCTTTGCCCCTATCGTTTATTTGTGGCATGCGAATTCCAAAAGAAAAAGTGTCAAATTTAATTAAAATCGATTCAAAAAATGAAAAAACAGTTGGCGAGAGCTTTAATTCAATTAATAACACCCAAACGAAACGTTACGAATTGTCAGATATTAAAATTTCCAATCAAAAAAGCATGACAGAACAAACTACGAATGCAAATATTAACATAACTAATCCAAACAAAATTTATACATTAAATGATACTTTCTTAAATAATAACTTATCACAACCTTTCATATCATCAAGTTCCGATTTAAACGAAGATTTGAAAATAAATTGCAAGGATAATATACAACCATACATACAAAATATAATGGTGAGAGAAGATCAAAATGATTTGTTTTTGAATGATCCAAATCAAATAAAGCAATGCGTACAAGATATATCCGACTGTAAGGAAATTTTGAAGTATGCCGAACTTGGAGCGATGGTTTTTTATATTTTGCCTTGTTTAAATAATAACGATGCTTTAGAATATATTTCTCAAAATAAATTCAACCGTAATTGTTTTCCACTCTGGAATGAAATTTGTTTACATTTCTTGAATAATGTGAATATTATCCACTATGTTTTTTTGTTTGACATCGAGGAAGCCTGCTTCCGCAGCTCAGGATATGTTACTTGGAATGGATCTTTAGATGGTATACGTTTACATGAAATTATTAGGGTTAACTTTCTCTTTGATCATTTTGTGTAAGTATAAAAAATTTTTTTAAGCCCCACCGGCAAATAGAAAGAACCTACACCATAAAAAGTTAATATTTTATCGGCCCATATTAACGATTTTCTATATATAAACTTATTTATTTGAAAGAAAAAAACGTACATGTGTGATAAACCGAACAATTTTTTCAAAATAAAATCGACCTGGTTTTTATAATTATTGAGTAAACTACTGTCGAACAGGTATATTTACATGTCGATTAACTGTAAATTTTATAAAACCAAGTACACGGTATGTACAATTATTATGTACAAAGAATATAAGTCTATATCATTATTTATAAAAATGTTTACATAAAAATTTACGTCCTTTTCCTTTCGTTTTCACTTTTTTGGCTTACTATAAAACATTAAAGGAATAGTTTTACTAAAAAATCCATTTGCCGATTTATGCATATACATATTTAGGTATATTTATTTAACTACGTGATACTTTATTATAATAAATATTATTATTATAAATATAATTTATTATTATAAGATTAACAGTTATTTTGTTTACAGTTTTCAATTAAAGTCTGAACACAGATATACGCCAAATATTATAAATTATGTTAACTTTGGAGAAATACATTTCAAGTTTGGTTTAGACATGATGAACTTCATGGAAATGTTTGCAAAAATGTTAATTAATGACTAATAAAAATGTTCAAACAAAGGAGAAATGTCTCATACACAAATTCTTCGAACAGTTAAAACTTTATATTTTTAATATTAAGGTTTTGCTAATTTACAACTTTTTTAGAATAAATTGTTTAATTTTGTGTTAATTTTTAGTTGAAGAAATCTGTCGGTAAATTTAAATAAAATATTGAAAAATTTTGAATTTAAGTTTTTTTTTTAATTTTTCACAACTTACTTCACTTTTTAAACTTCCAATGAGAAAAATATCAAAAAAAATCAAAAGATAAAATATTTAATGTTTTACATACATTTATTTTATAAACCAACATGACATAATAATTATAAAAAAAGGAAATTATGGTTTTCGATTTGATGAGTTCTTTTTTTTTTAATTTTTTTTTGTATTTTAAAATTAATAATAAAGGAATTAGTTCTTTTTAATTTATAATAAAAATAATATAAAATTTAGCAAAAACTTTACGCTAAATTACACTTTTTAAGTTATTAATAAAAAATAAAAATAAATTTTCTGTGTATACAATATTTGATTTTTTATTTTTAATTATATATAATTTTTTTTAAAACTGTGGCTTTTACTTTTATTCTCCAAAATGATTCATATAATATCAATTACTCTAGATATAATGTTTTCATTTTTGTTTAAATTTTTATACTCAAATTTGGAATAATTAAATATATTTTTAATACTAACTAGAATGATTTTCTTTTTTTGTTTTTTTTTCCTTAAAAGTAAACAATGTATTTCATGATTACAATTTTATTAGTTCATGTTTTTTTTTTTGTATTTTATTTGTGCATTTCTTAAACGGAAAATAAAACTCTTTACGATGATCTTAAAATTCCTTTAAATTTAATATTTTAAAACAAACAAAAAAAGTTTGAAAAGAAATGATTATTTATATTTAATTTTATTATTCTTTCTTTTAGTTTTTTTTTATTTTTTATTTTGTTTTTGAAGACACTTTTAAAATATATAAAAATGAAAAAATTGGTACTTTAAAGATTTATTTTTTTTATAGGTTTTTTCTAATTACATTGGACAACAATTTGTTTTTTTTTTCTTTTTTTATTTTCACAACTGCAATCAATCAGAAAATTTTAATATATGTACTTAAATTTTAATTTTTTGCATTTATATTCTTACTTTCAATTTTTTTAGAGTAGTATAAGATATATAGGAAGTAACGACGACAATATATATATATATATATATGTATAAATATATATATATATATATATGTATAAATATATATATATATAATATGTATAAATATATATATATAAATATATATATATATATATATATATATATATATATATATATATATGTAATGTAGGTATATATTACATATATGTACACACATAAGTATTAACATATAATATATGTGGACATATAGATGTTAACATGTAATTATACTCACAATTTTATATGTAGGTTGTATCTTATTCATAACTTTGTCCTGTCTACATATTGTCGCTAGGTCTTACTTGTCGTTGGCTGTGTCAACGATTTGGCAAATTACAATGTTCGACGTGTTGAAACTTTTATTTTATTCTTTTTGTCTACAAATTTCTTTCTCAGTATCTTTGACTTTATGGTAAAGGTGCGAAATAAAACGTAAATATTTCCATAAGTAGAACAAAATATTTAACAATATTTGTAAAAAATAATTTTAAGTAGATAAAATCTTTTGTGCAACATTTATTACATCAAAAAGGGTGTATAGCATTATTAACATTCAACGGTTACATTAACACAATTGCAAATATCTAGATACTTTGTATGTAAAATTAAATAGAATAAATTTAGGCATAAGCAGCTTACGCTTAATAATTGAACGATTACTTTTTATATCAAAGTATAATTGTACAAAATATTACAGACGCGGTGTTTATAAAGGATATAAAACGACTTGTCCGATTTATTTTTGTATTTAAACGAATTTAAATACAAAAATACGCAAATAAATGCATACATATTGTATGTATGTATTTAGAATAGTTGTAAAAAGTAAAATCATGAGTAATTTCGTAGCAAATTAAAAAAAATCACTTGAAGATTTTTTGAAAAGCAATCGTTTAATAAATTACCTATATTTTTACAAATATATGTAAATTTATTTCCACTTTATTATGATTGTGATTATATGCATGTATATATCTTACATATTTAGTGGATATGTATATAATCCTTTCATATTTTTTATTTCATTAATAAAATTTTTAGTAGAAAAAATACGATACGACCAGCAGAAATATGCTTATCAATGCGACGATTCGCCCCCGAAAAATGTATGTGGTTTCAAATTCATACATGCATATATATTATATGTACATTTGAAGTATTGCATATACATATGTATATGAATACGTTAAGATATTTACATACATTTAATTAAAGTTCACAAATTATTAGTATGTTTGTGTTAGGACCGCAGTCAGAACGGATTGTTTTATAAATAAAATGGTTAATAAAATTTTCTATATAGCAATATCATTTTTTTTATAATGCGGTGAAAATGAATGTTGATTTGATTATTTCTTGGATTATTCGTATATTCTGTCACATTAATGAACAATGGTACTGATCAAAATTAGTTTATGAGTTTTTTTAATTCTTTTCTGAGGGAATCCGACCTATTTGCTTGTTATATGATAAAGTTTACTGTTATATACATAAATAAAAATAAGACAATGTATAACAATAGGTAATGTTTCTTATACAAAGTATTCATTTAACATAAACATACATACATATATGTATCCAAGCATGTTATATCTAAAACCAATTAAAATTGTTTTAAGCAATAACATATTATACATACATATATATGGAGTACCTAGTACCTTTTTGAATATTTATTGAAGATATTCATGTACAAAATTAGGTTAACATTTTTTATAAATTTAAAGTTGCAAAGTTTTGATTATGTATTTTAAAAAACTTAGACCTCAATCATAATAAAAGTTTAAAATTAAAATGTAATTTTTGAGAAAAAAAAAATTTCTCGCCATTGGATGAACGCGACAATAAACAGTAGATAGATATGTTCCTATTTTGTAATGTATATATATAAATATATATGTATATATATATAAATAAGTAAATATATATATATATATATATATATATATATATATATATATATGTATAATATATACATATATGTATATGTATTTACATTTCTTATTTATATACGAATTTATATAGTTACACATTAGCACATACTTTGCATATTTTAGCATGTACTATATATATATATGTATATATATATATATATATATATATGTATATATATATATATATATATATATATGTATATATATATATAATATATATATATATATATATTATATATATATATACATATATATATATATGTATATATATATATATGTAATTATATATATATATATATATATATATATATACATATATACATATAATTATATATATATATAATTTTATAATGTGTTACATTATTTATAGGTATTCATTATACTTTTTTAATAACGCTTTACTTTTAAAGCAATACACATAATGATTTCTTCTTAGATTTTTGCTTTTTTTCATTGGGTGATGTTTTATTTATTTGTCGAACTAGATCGTAGAAAATCTAAAATTAAAAGCAAAATATTAAAAAAAATTAGTTTATTAATGTAAAATACATATGTATATACACATGTATTTTAAAATTTTATACAAAATAAATAAATTTCACATGAATTGCAGTTAAAAATTTTACTATGTATGTATATATTTAAAAACTAAAACACATTTTTCTCAATTTAAAATTTTTTTTAAAAATATTAAAAGAAATTATAAGTTTAGGCCTAATTAGATATATTAGGAATTTTGTAATAAAATTCTACTATCCTGAAGGGCATTGAGATAGGTTTATAACTATATCGGTTTTAATTTTGAAGGTTAAACTATATCGGTTTTCGAAACTTTCATTTTTAAATTTTTTTTTATGTCAATCTAAAATTCTAAAGAGTTTATTTATATACATAAATTTCTTTCTAAGTATTTTCAGATATAAAAAGATAATTAGATTTTTCACATTTTTGTTCATGTTCATCACTAGACTTTAATTATAAACTGAAAACATTAAGTGAAAAAAATGGAGAAGATCATATATGGTATGGTGTTTTTAGATTTTAATTTCAATTCTAATTTATTTATGTATGTTTGTAATATATTTATTTCAAACTTCAATATTGGTGGTCAAAAGAGCAAACAAAACTATCTGGCACAAAATATAATTCCCAAATATTGGAAGATATTTATAAAAAAAAAACGCTGCATATATTCAAAAAAAGTTCTATTAAGAAACTTGAAACAAAATATACACAGATGGTTTTAACATAACTCTTATGTGAATAACCTTGCAAAATTCAAATCGCAAAGTAAAAAATTACAGATGATTGAAATGACAACTGATTTAAAGGAGTGGTACTGGTTCAATGGTCAGAAAATCACACAATTATCCGATTCTCCGATGATAGACTAATTTGCACTTCTACGTGAAAACTCTGCCATTTCTTGAAAATGACAAGTAAAAATATAGAAAATTATAAATAAATTTTTTTATCATTCAAATAATCAAACAAAATTCTTTGAATTCAAATAATTTATTTGAATAATAATATTTTCAGATGGTACTTCCATAATAGAATATGTTTTTAAAAATAAATTAATTGCTTTTCTTTACCTCGAAAATGAAATGTGATAAGAGTTATGTAACGATGTATCTTGTTTCAAAAACAACTAAACTTGCTGCAGTGAATACTGCATCATTTGTTGATACTACAGAAGGGATTAACTTTTGACATTGAAAATAACCGTAATTGCTCATGCAATTTAAATTTGTTAAGACTTTCAGTTTGTAGTCTTATTACTGTATTTGTTGTGCTAAAGTGTATGCGTCATAGCATCAGAAGCGCTAAAAATATGCTTACATATTTTTTTGGTGGCAGCAACTCGACTAATTTTTTTTTCTAATTTTGCAAAACTGCACCGGATATAGTGAAATCGCTAAAAATATTATACAAACTAGCTCAACTATCATCCATACTATAACAGATCTGAAGCTTAATTTTTGTATCATATGTATGAATGTATACGTACTAATTTATATGCGAAACATCATAAAAAAATTTATTTTAATCTACCATCAACCGTTTTTTCATTATTTCTTCGGTTGCTCAAAACAAGCTATTAAAAAACTAATTTCACATTTTAAGTTTTCATTAGTGATTAAAAGAAAACTTGTCTAATTTTAAAATTTAGTAAACAATTCTGTTCCAGCAAACTTACTGAATGTTAAAGAATTTGGACTTACATCGTAAACATTAATTTTAGCTTTGGCAGATGTTTCCATAAACGCACAATTGAATTGACTAGCAAGACTCTTGCCCAATTCTTTTCCAACGACCCTTTCGTCTTCCAGATCACACTTGTTTCCCACTAATACCATTGGCACAGCATCAGTATCCTGAAAACATTTTGTAATAACTTTTAAATAACTTTCTAATTTTTGCTACAATATTGAGTCATACTTTAACCCTTAAAATTTGTTCTCTTAGGTCCTGTAAATCATTAAATGTTGATTGTGCCGTTATTGAATATACTAATATAAAACCTTGGCCATTTTTCATGTATAAGTCTCGCATTGCTGTAAATTGTTCCTGAAGTTTGAAAATAAATTTGGTTAAATTTGATGTTAATTATAAATTTAATGATTGTATTTTTTGAATTTAAGCATGTTAAAGCACTTTTAATTTTTAACTCCTAATTAATAACTAATTTAGTGTTATTTTGAATCAGTTTTCTGTAATTAAATAAATAATAATGAGTGACATTCACTTCCAACATATTGTTTACATTTTAACTCTTTTTATGTCCTGAAATGTCATCATATTATCTATAACTACGACAGTATAAAACATTTTTTTATGTCAATTTCTTATCAAAATCTGATTAATCCGAATTTTAAATAATTATCTATCTAGGAAAAACTTTTGTTATATAAAATCAAAACTTTGTTTAATACAAAAGCAGCGGCATAACGTTTGTAATATTAAAGCTTACAGAAATAGGGTAAAAAATTACAAGTGTGCGTCATCGTTATAAAAAGTAATGTGATGAGTCACACCCAAAACAATGTCATTCACTTACAGTCCCAGCAGTGTCCAGTATTTCAAGCATACATTGTTGACCGTCTACTTCAACCTGCTTCCTGTAAGAATCTTCAATCGTCGGATCATATTTCTCAACGAAAATTCCCTGAAAATAACATTAAAAAAAATACATGTTCCAATTGATTCGTACTATTTTGTCGAAGTACATTTCCCTTTCATTTTCAATAGCTTTTTACTTACTTGGACAAACTGCACTGTTAAAGCTGAAACGAAACATTAAATTTTAGTACAAAAATATTTTAAGTTTTAAAGGGCCCACTTACCCGATTTGCCTACGCCCCCGGAACCTAACACAACTATTTTATACTCGCGCATTTTCTTTTTTTTTGTTCTAAATAATTACTTTCGCTTTTATTGAATTGTAATGTAAAATTTTTTATGAAAATTATACTTAAAACAAATTTAGTATTTTAAAGGTTACAATATGAACATACAAGATTATTATGTATACTTATTTGATTGATTCGACATGAATTTAACAAATTTTTAAAGGTAAATTAAGATCTCGATTTTTGACAATATACAATTTTTTGTTTTAAAACTTAAACATCTTATTTAAATATATAACTAAAAAAAACTTTATACAAAAATTTCTATTTGAAAATCCAATATAATTTGTTTAATGTTCTTCAACAAAGATAAAGTTAATTAAACTCTAGTTATTTCTTCAATTTTATTCTTGACATTCGTTAGATCTACAAAAATTACCTGAGAAACTATTTCGGGTGTTGACTTTCATAGAAAACATTATTAAGGGAATTTGTTGCTATCAATATAAAAATTCACAATTGACAATATTAAATGTCCATTTGCGACATCTAGTGCTTTTCGGGAACAACCAATCCCGGATATTAATAATTTGTTTGGTTTATTATTTCTTATTTTATATAAGGATTGGCACAAATGCGTAAATTATTGCTTTTTTTAACCTATGAAGAGAAATACAAAATGTAAAAATATTTGTTTTTCATTTCAATATAAGTGAGCTGATTCAAAATGAAACAAAAAATTTTTTAAAATGTGTCATATGATTCCACGAAGTTCATTCTGATGAATTAATCAGAAAAAAATTCCGATGCTACGAGTATTTGTCAAGAAAAATTAAAAAAAAATGCCAAAACTAGTTTTTTCAAAAAAACTGATATATTTATATTAATTTCTTCTTATTTTCTCTATATATCTGTTAATAATGTTTCTTATGTTTAAATTTATTTTTGTTAATGTATAGCACTATTTGTTTTATACAAGAGACTAATAACATATCTTTTGCGACAAAATTTCTTTAGAAAAATATCAACCACCAAAAACTTTCAAGCTCAAAAGGAAGTAAACGTAATGAAGAAACTTAACTAGTTAAATAAGTAATGAGATAATTACATTACAGTGAATTTAGAGAAACGGCGCTTATCTTCTTTTCTGGCCGAATATGATTTTGACATTTTGATTTAATACACAGAAAACGTTTCTTCCTATTGACGTCATTAGTTAAAAATGCTGGCTGTCATCCTTTTATCATTTTGGTATTTTATGTAGATTTATGTAATTGAGTTTTTGGATGTCATTTTTTTTGTATAACTATTACGCTGTCAATTCATGCTAATAAAAAAATCGCTTGTTTAGACTAGTTTTATTTATAGTTAAAATTAACTTATTGAATGACAAATTTGTTATTAGATGTCGTAGAAAAATATTTAAATATTTTATTTTAATCTCTTTCAAAAACAAAATAGAACAGATTTATAGTAAAAAACAAAGAAGAAATATGAGTATATAATTTAAAAAACATTGGTCAGTTTGTCGACCTCTTATACTTCTACATATGTACATATATGTATATGTTACACGTTATACGTCACATATTTTACGTACAGGGATAGTCTTAAATTTTTTAAAAATAATGCCTAAATAATTTTTGAGATTGTGTTTTGGCTTCTAATTTGTTCATTCTAAATTAATAACCTTTTTTTCGTTATATTTCTTTTTTTGGTAATAATTTTTGCAAAATTGCAACTGATTTTTGAAAGCAATATATATGTATGTACATACATACATACAGTATAACCCGCTTATCCAAAAAGTTTAGTAAAAGCTCTTGACGTACATTTTTCCTAAATGCGTTTTATACGTAGTGGGGACGTAAAATAAAAGTAAATCGGGTGTCGAAAAAATTTAGCACGCTTTTCTTATTCCTTGTCATCAAAGGTGCTCGATTTTTTCTCATTTTTTTATGAATTTAATAGTTTAGTTTATTAAGCTAAAATAAATTAAACGGTTGTCGCTTGTTTAACAACTTATAGTTGACTAAGTTTAAGGCGTTATATAAATAAACTTACTTGAAAATATTTATAAGTTTGAAATAAAGGATAAATTGAAATATAAATAAATAATTAATTTTTGTAGGAGACTCGTACAGACAGATTAGCTCTTACACTACCGCTATAACTATTACTATTATTTTGTTTTGCGTGTTAGTAATGGCACGCCGTATCCCACATACAATAATTGTCGTTAAAATATTATTTTTATTTTATTTAAATAATTATGTATGTTTACTTTTCATTTTTTATTTGTTTTAAATATTTCAAGAATGTGAAAAAAATATGTTAGTGAAAATTGCTGTGTTCGCATTAAGCGTCTCTATGGCCTCCCAATTTACTCTTTTCCCATTAGTCTAATTAAAGCGCTGTGTTCTACTTGGGTCAATGCCCTTCCATTGACAAACACGAGTTTACCGGACGATTTTTTTGAAAATGTTCAATTCATCATAAATTCAAAACTAATTGTAAATATGTATATAAAATGAAATAACATCATTAACTAAAATAATAAGGAGTGATAATGTAGAATCCAAAAATTATATTGAAATTACTTCCCGAAAACGACAAGCTTTATATAAAATTATATAAAATTCAGTATTAAATTTAATTTAAAATAGGCTTAGAATTCAACACACATACACATTTTTACCAATCACATGCATATGTACATACATATGTACATATTTTAACGTATTGTCAGAGTTTTCTTTTTTATAAATCCGAATTATAAAAAATTTCATTCAAAACGCTTTTATTTTCTTAGTTCGAGCAGAACAGGGACAAAAATCTAGTTTATTTCAAACAAAGTCAGGTTTTATTTATGTTTTCTTTTAAGAAATATCACTTAATCTAATTACAAATTGCTAGACGAACAATATAACTCTTAATGTTAAGCATAATTATGTAGATATATAAATATTGTACATATTTTGTTTATGTAGTGTGTATTATATAGTGGAATTACTTCACGAAAGTTATTTTAATTTTTTAACAAAAGTTTTTTTAATTTTTTTAACATCAAGTTTTAACACGGTGAACAAATCAACATTGTTAGCTAAAACTCGTGTTATGTCGGTTATTTGTTTACTAATTGTTCAGGGGTTGACAAATAATAGTCATAATTTAATATATATCCATAACAGCAGAATAACCCATTTTAAAAAATTCTATAATTACTTTTCTGCTACATGCTTTTGCAATAATAACATACCTGCTGATGTTATAATAGCTGATAAAAGATTGTCATACTTCCGTGAATAGTTTGTTAGTGAGAGTGTCTAAGTTTCTGTTGCAGAAAGTTTTCTAAAACGCTTGGGTTTTTGCAAACAATTCCTTTGAGAAGCTGCATCATATAAATACATCACCCAATTGAATAGATATTTAAAATGATTGAGAATATGGGAAAAAAATTTTCTATTGAATAATTTAAAAATTTATTTCTAATCGAATAACTTTCAATTTTAATATAATATAAATACTGGTGATTATAAGGTGTTTAAGTTCTAAAATATTCGGCTCTAGTGCTATATGCACAACACTGTATAGTTACATAAACGTTCCATTTACATACTGGAAGTAAGTAAAAATAGAAAACGTATGCATTTAATATTATAGAATAAGTTTGTACATAATTACATAAATTGATAAATAAAAAACTAAATAAATAAGTTTTTATATTTAATAATTTTAATCTTAAATAAATAAATATACATCGCAAAATCTATGAGTTTTCCTGAAATTTCCCAATGAAACCATTATTTGAATAGTATTTATAGCTAAATGAAGCATTAATTTTTAAATCAATTGCAAATTATTTTTTGATTTTATTATCGTAAATTTTAATGCAAATTAACCTTTAAGCAAAATCTGCAAATTAAATAAATTTTACAATTTTTTAAAAGTGCAAAATAATAATACGATAAAGTTTATTTCCTTCTCAAACTCGCCAATGACCAACATAGACTATTTAAAAATCTTTTTGATAATTTCGTTTTGTTTATTTTTAATCAAAATTTAATTACTTATATTTATTTTATTTTAATTTGTTTAAGTGTATCTCTTTGCCATTTTATTTTGTTTGTCTCTCTGTCATAAAATTTTGAAAGTGGACCAGCGAAATATAAAAATTAATAAGAATTTTGTTCTCCGTATTTTTGCAGCGAAAGCTTAACTTCCTTTCACTATATAGTAAGATACTATAAATGGAAGCAACGGCAGATACTCGTATGGATAACCCACAGAAGAGGAAGTTGCCCTCAAACAAAAAAATTCAAATTAAATTCTATTTTTCTTATTTTTCACCGTATATAATTCAAATTTGAAATAATTATTTACATTGTCATTCCTTAATAGAATGAATGACCTTCATTACTTATCATTGAGATAAATAATCAATTTCCGAAATTTTATTTTAAATAAAATTTTTAAGAGCTAATAAGGATAACTTAAGGGGGACAAAAGTTGGCATGGGCCCTAGTCAGTCTCACATTTTCCTAACATGTGAGGCTGAAAATGCTAGGAAATGCCCTCTGAAAACATCAGCTCTGCCAACAAATCCGGCTCTCACCTCCTAGAAGGTAGGTAACATAGTTATCTGCCGGGTGTCTCCTGGGCAACTTACTTAGTAAGGCTGACGAGAGCTTGTGAAAGCGAGTACTCGGCGCTTAATCCGGGTTTCGTTGGTTAGGAAGCGCGCGGGCGGTAAATCTAGAAGCGTCTGACCTAGAATAGGCGGCTCCCTGGTCTGCGTCTGATCCCTGAGGGACGGCAGTTTTTGAATCCTGGCAGTAGGTATAAAATGCAGAATTTAATCATTTGTGCAATGGACAAAACAAATGGATTTAGTACCCCTGGTGGTAATTCAACTACGTTGGAGAATTCACCCTCTTCGGCGTTCACCACGTACATCTGATGTGCGGATTTTAGAAAAGAATGGAAATAGAGAAGGTGGACTACCGAACATTCAAGCTTCACAGACCAATAAGGGTATAAACATGAGTAAAGCTCAAGACAAAGAAAGTGATGATCAGAATGCTGACATACACAAAAGGATTAGCCAACTGGAACAGCTCTGTGTGGCTTTGAAAAGCGAGGTTCTTCAACTGAGGGCGGAAAATGAGAAACTAAAGAAAGAGAAGCATACGCAAATTACAAACAATAAGTCTAATGTGGGCAGTCATAAAGAAAAAGAGGCTGCACCACGAGCAAAGCAGGTGAGGTCAGTCCTAGACGCCTACTCAACAGATGAGGAGGAACTCGCCAGAGACACGGATTGGATCCTAAAACAAAAGAGGTCCAATGAAAAAAGAAAAGC